GGTTTCCACTCCAAGCTGTGGAACTAGCTGCTGGGATCGAGTAGCCAGCTGGGTTTCATTCACAAGCACCCAGCGCCACATGGGCTGTGTACTGGCCTTTGGGCTACGTCATCAGGGGCCTCATCTGTGCTTTCCATCCCATGAGGAAGAGGCAGTTCTGCAGGACGCCTGAGGTGCCTACACCACACACCCTCTGGAGTACATGTGAAAGGGGGACCCCTGCAGCTCATTCTTCTGGGGATGGCTGTCCCCACCCTCCAGATTCCCCTGCCACAGCTCTGCCTCTCTCCCCAGCAGCCCAGCTCCAGTGTCCTTGCTTACAGGTGCAGGGGCAGGACCCAACAGAGACACTTTGTATTTCTTTCAGCCCTGTCTGCTTCCCTATACACAACAGCTGTCACAGCATTTACTACATCAGGGATCCTATTATTACTCCTATTTTACATATGAGGAAACTGAGGCACAGAGCAGTGAAGCGACAGAGCCAGGCCTGATCCAGGCTCTTAACCTCTGTCACAGTGTACATGCCACAGGTGGCACCCCCTGGGGGGAGCACAAGAATGATTTTTTACACTCCCACAGCACACCCCAAAGCTGCAGGGCCAAGCCAACAGAAATGCATCAGTGCGTCCTGGGGCCCACTGATTGCAAAGCTGGAAGGTGGGGGGCGGTCAACAATGGGCAGCCTCATCCCCACCCCAACCTGGACCAACAAGTAGCCTTTGGAATGGCTCTGCCAGGTAGGTGACACCCAGGGGGACTCTGACAGCCTAGAGGTCAGGACCCATCCCTTCTGGCTGCACTGCAGTAACTTGTGTGGGGCTTTGGAGTCTCCTAAAGTGCATGTGAACCCAGCTCTTTCCTCTCTCTCCTTTCAGAGAAGACCCTTGGCTTGCCCCTCTTGGGCAGTCAGATAGCAGCTGTGACCAGGGCACATATCCGCCTGTGGGTACACAGTGCGGAGAAGCCTCAGGGCCTCAGCCATATGGAGCTGGGGGGTTCTGGGTCTCCATCACATAGGTTAGGGCTCTTCCCAAACTCTGGGGCTGGGGATCGTTTTTTATTATTGTGAACATTTTGAGGCCTAGAAAGGAGAGTTAGTGTTAGTGACCTGTCTTTTTTTTCCATCTTTTTGTGGTGTTAAAATCAAACCCGGGGCCTCTCATGTGCTAGGCAAGTGTGCTACGACTGACCATCCCCTCCCCAGTTCATTTTTTTGTTACAGGGCCTAATGAAGAGGCAAGTGAGCCTGGTGACAGGCAAACTAGGGCAGAGGGGCCATGCTGAGCCAAGTATGGTGGTCTGAAAGAATCTGTATATTTAGGAACCACTTTCAAACCAGAAACCCAGGGCGAGTTCCAGACACTGGTTTGCATCCTGTGGCCTGCAGCTGATAACGAGGAACACCTGGCCAAGGAAAGTTCACACCAGACCAGTTCTGGGGCTCTGATCCCGAAAAAATCACTCCACACCCCAGGCCTTCATGCTGACATTTTAAGAGCTCTCCAGGAGCTTCTAATGCTTGCACTGTCGGAAACAGCCACTGGCCATAAGCTCGGCAAAGGAGGATCAGTCCAGACTTACTGAGCTGTGAGAATCAAATACACACCAGATTCTGGACACTTAATGAAGAAGCAAGACATAAAATGTCCCATTCATAACTTTGACAGTGCTTGCAGGCTAGGAGGGTGATATTTAGGACACACAGGGTTAAGTAAATGACACAGCTCTATTTACACAAGATGATCTAAAATTATATCCTAGGCTCCTCTTTCTACTCCGGCAGCACGCTTGTAGCATGCAGAAGTCCTGAGTTGTCAATAAACGTTAATCTTTACAAGATTTCAGCCCTGCAGGGGCCACTGAAGAGGTATGTCACTGACCTGGAAAACTGGACCTGTGAACTTGCTGCTCCCTCTGCCTGACACTTCCCCACGAGGACCCTCACACTGCATACTTCGGCAATTTCCCCAGGACTGGCTTGCTCAGCAGTGGCCGTGATGCGAAGGGTTTCTCTGGTCCTGATGCTGTCTCCACAGCATGTGGGAAAAGTGGCCCAGAGAAAGGAATCGGCCCAGAGGAAAGGAAAACTTAATTAGCATGGCTTCTACCTGTGGGGTCCTCCAGTGCTTCCAAAACAGCTTTCCTCTCTAGTGGAGGCCTGCAATCAGATTTTGAACAGCTGTATGTTTTGCATACAATATGTATCCGTTCACTATGGCTGCTGTAACAAATCACCATAAAATTCGTGCCTTAAAACAACATGGGAATTTATCATCTTACAGTTCTGGAGGTTAAAAAGCCTGTAATGAGTCTCACAGGGTTAAAAGCAAGTGTGTGTTTCTTTCTGGACGCTCCAGGGGAGAATCCAATTTCTGGCTGTAGAACCCAACCATATTCCTTGGCTAAGGTTTCGTTTTCCATCTTCAAAGCCATCCTTTATATTATGCTGACCTCCTCTTGGCTTCTCTGGTTCACATTTAAATGCCTTTGTGATTACATTGGACCCACCTGGTAGCGGAGGACAAGCTTCCATCTCAAGGTCAACTGATAAGCAACTTAATTCCATCTGCAATTTGAATTCATCTTACCAAGTAAGGTAACACTGATCCGAGGAATTGGGATGTGGACATCTTTACGGAGTTATTACTCAACCTACTGCATAGTATAGCTCACACCTAGAGCAGCCCAGAAGTGTTCCTAGTTATAGAAGAGGAAACAGACTCAGGAGTTAAGCAACTTACCCAGGGCACAGCTAGAAACCAGGGCCACCTGCCTATAAGTGCACTCCATGAAGCCACACCATCTTTTTAATGGTACAGGATACAAATGGGCTGAATTCTGTGGTCTTAGTACTCTTTATTCACAACAAGAAGCAACCAATAAAACTTTGTCCCTCTGTTTTGAAAAGGGTTTTATCATCAAAGGGACTAAAGTCACAAAGAACACACTAGGTTTTGGGGGCACTCCACTGGGGCCATACACTCACACTGAGCCACAACCTCAAGAAACGTGCCTGCCCTCGCCCTCCACCCTCCTGAGTGCTGACCAGAGACCTATGCAGAACAGGGCGTGTCCTGCCCAGAAAGCAAACATGGAAGCATTTCTCCTTCCTCCTCATCCAGAAGCCCAGGCTGGCGAGGACTTAGATTCTAAGTCAGCCCTAGTGCTCCTCCAACAGCACGAGCAGCATGTTCCAAAGAAAAACAGGTCCCAGGATTGGATGTGCTATTTTCTGTCCCAAAGGACACACAGAAGCAGTAACCTGGGCTCTCCAGGCCCTTTCCACCAAGGGGCCTGGGCTGGCAGCTCACTAGATATTTCTGGGAATGATCTAATTAAATATTAACCACTTACAAAACCTCTTTCTTATATCCTTCAATAAGTCACAGTGAAGACAGGCAAGCCCAGACACTAGCACCAAACTCCATCTTTGCTAAAGAAGAGTTTCTGAAGTGGTTGAGTTCTACAAGATTCACCCATCATGAAGTTGTTCATTTTAAGTAACCATTTTAGTCCCCTCAAAGAAACCTGCGAGCAAAACAAAATAACCCACAATGTGGTCCTAGAGCCTCTCTGACATTCAGGAAGGTTGCCCTTGACTTAGAACCATTTCAGAGTAAGATCAGTGAAGGTGGCCCTTGAAATCCCATTTCCTCCCTGCAGCAATCAGCTCTTTATCTCCACCTGCTCCAAAGCATGAAAAATCTAAAACATCAGTGAGTGAACAAAGTTTTTTACAACATCACATTTTCTGTGAATTGAGTGTTTCTTCCTATGGCCTGCAAGTTCCTGGCACAATTAAAGAGGTATTAATGAGTTTAAATTAAATGCTATGCTTGTTTTTATGATAGGCTAGCCAGGCTGGAGCAGATGACAATGATCAAAGGATAAATTAATCACTTGCAGCCAGGTTGGTTCCAGCTCTGAGCTTGAAGGAGTCTTTACATCCAGAGGTTTATCATCACTTTCATTGTCAATCACAAGAACAAAGGTTAGAAGGTCTCCCTGTGTTCTATTTCAAAACGAAAGCTGTTGCCAGCTGCATGTGCTAACTTGTTTTGAAATGATGGCAGAAGTGCTCTGTTGGACAAGGGGGAAGGAACTCGCTCAGGGCAGCCACAAATGCAAATGTCACCAACCTGCTTCAGACAGAGGTGGGACTTACACTTTTTCTAAAGTAGAAATCTTCAGCCACTTCAGTCTTGGTTGACCTACCCACCCCCACCCCAACCCTGGGTGATAAGGGGTCCCCTTCGGCTCATCCCCCATACACTGGGACACCTCTGCGTTTGTAAAGTAGGAAGGAAAAGCAAGCCAGCTATTTGGCAAGGCCATGGTGGGGCCTCGGCACCAGCACACATGCACACCCGCGCCATGATTGACTCCCCGACCCCTTTCCCAGAATCGGTCCTCCTGGGGAAGAAGCGGCGCGTGGGGGGCAGGAAGGGAGCCCGGGGAGTTCCCGTCTGTCGGCGCCGGTGTTTAACGAGGGGGTGGCAGTGTATTTATACGGGGCCCCCGCGCGGGCAAACGAGTCTGGCGACATTCGTGAAACTTTTCACCCAGCAGATTATGGGCTGCCGTGCGGCGGTGGAAACAGTTCAGAAGACAAGGAAGCGGGGAGTTTCCTTCAAGGAAATGCACGGGTGGGGGCCCCTGGCTTTCCGATGGGGGGAAAGGCAGACGGCCTGGCACCTGGGTTCCGGCGCAGCTGAGTCCCCGGCCACCTGGATCTTGTCTCCGCTCCCGGTCCCCTCGGCCCCGGACCGCCCTGATCCACGGCCACCTCGGCCTCTCGGGTCCCATCTCGGTCCTCGGCCCCATCCCGGCCCGGCTCCCCGAGGAGCGCGGCGCGGCTTCCGGTTCACCTGCTACGGCGCTCGGGCCGCGGCGCTGGGCAGACACAGGCCGGGCACCCCCAGCCCCCGCCACCCGGGCCCCGCGGGGCGCACGCGGGGAACCCCGGCTCCGCCCGCCCGCCCGGCGTTCGAGCTCGCCTGGGTCTTGTCGAACTGCTCGCGCTCGGCCTCCAGGCTGTGACCCGGCCTGCGGCTCAGCACCCGCGCCGGCACGTTCTTAATGCTGTTCATCCTGCCGCCGCCGCCCGCGCCCCTGCCCCGCTCAGGACTGAGGCGTCAGCGCCCGGACGCAGCCTAGGCACCTCGAGGCAGCCGCACCGCGCGCGGGGAGGAGCCGCCGCCCCGCCCGTCACTCAGCCAGCCGGCGCTCGGGGCGGGGCCAGGCCGCGGCCCGCCGCCCCGCCCCCTTCCCGACAGCCCCGCCCCCTGAGCCTCCCTAAGCGCGGGGACTCCCTGCACGCCCCGCCCCCGAGCGCCTCCAACGCTGCGGGTCTCCCCGGCGCCACCCGCCCTCTAGCTCCCACCAAATGCACAGACCAAACGCCCCCCAACCCCGCCACACCTCTTACTCCTAAAACATGCGAAAAAACTGTCCCTCTTCTTCCCTTCTCCCCGCCCCCCCATCATTAAGTCCCCCTACACGCCACCAGGGAGAAAAATGGAGGAAACTGGGCCTCCACTAGTCTGGCCAATGGCAGCACAATCGGACTTATTTTCCCCTCTATGGTAGTATTTAAAGTCTCAAGATGAGGCACACTGTGAAGCACCCTCTTCCTGTCATCTCTATTGTAAACGCCGCTGCCACCCACAGAGACGCCTAGGGAGCAAAGGGGGCCACCAAAGCGCTGGAACAAGAAGCCAAGGAGATGGGCTGGCCTTTGACAGCTTGCTTTTTAAATTTTTGGTCATAAGACTAAGAAAGAAAGTAAATAAACCCCCTAAATTCCCCCCGAGTGTAGCTCTTAGATGATTGCTTTGTTTCTGCTTGTTCTTGGTTTTCCTGCCAGAATGTGGACAGATGCTAAGGTACCAAGGATTCCTTTTGCTTTTTGAGAGGAAGCATCACCTGTCAGAGGGGAAATGCTACCTTGGAACACCTGACCTTTGTCTCTGGGTGAGACTGAAGCTCTCTGAGGGCAGGGACCCTTTTGACCATCTCTGATTCCTTCCTCACAGAGCCGCTCAAGGGCTGACACTGCACATCTGAAAGCTGTGTTAAACAAGGCTCTCCTCTCACTCCACTAAAAAGAGAGATTGGCCATGCTCGCTCTAATTCCAATCACTGAAAAGCTTCTTTGCCAGCAAAACAATAGAGTAATGACAATAGCTGGTATTTATTGAATGCTCTTTGCCAGGTACTGGGCTAAACCTTTTACATGTATTATTTTGTCTTTAATCCTCAGCAATTTAGTCAATAGCCACAGCCAAATAAAGACCACAACAAAGGGGTTTGTTTGCTCTGTGCCAGCTGTTTCTCAGACTCCTTTTCCCATATGGGACAAAAGCAGTTACCCGTGACCTTCACACATATAGAAGAGGCCAACACCCCCTCTGGGTCTAGAACATCTGCCATGGTGACTTAACAGTAGCAAATATCTCCCCGTCCTTTTAAATACATACGGAGCTTATCACTGTGCCAGGAACTGCACTCACTCAGCATTTGGTCAGCAGTAGCTCATTTAATCTTTAATGTTTTTGTGGTAATTTTACAGACAAACAGGCTCAGAGAACTTATAAGAAGGCACCCAAGTTCGGCCCAGGTTCACCTACTGGCAAACAGTGCATTCAGGGTACAGCTCCAGATCTGCCTGATTTCAAAGCCATTGTTCTTCGATAACCATGCCATTTATTGTATGCAACTAGTGCCAGCTGTGGTGGCTCACAAGTAGCGATGACTTTCTCCAGTGCACTGCCCTGGGCTTGCTCTTCAGGAGTCAGAGCACTTTGCTAATATCTCTGAACTATAATGTGACAGCCTATAGATGAGATCCCGTCTTACACGGTGTTACACCCTCATGCCTAGCACATCCCATGGCACATGGCCATGTTCAATAAATGGGTGTGAAATGAAGAGCTGAAAGAATAAGCAACCCCCAAAAAGTGGTATACTCAGAACATGGCTTATAAGAAGGCGTTCTGGGGACACAAGGCTACAAACTGCCCTTTCTAATTGTCAAGGTTCATGTCAACATATCCAGATGTGGGGGGGCTGTTCCACAGCTGGCTGTCACTGATTGATATTCTCCACATTATCAGAACCAGGGTTCCCTTTTGGGAACACCCTTCATGGCTGATTAATTGCAAAGGCAAGGCATTTGGAATACAAATTAAACCTCATTTTGGGGAGAACTCAAAAAGATGAACAATGGGGTTTACGTTACTTGTGCTCACTGAAAGGATGTGTGCTGCTATACCCACACTGCTTCACTGACACCCATACATGACCTGGACCAGTCTCTCTCTCTCCAGATTCATCTTGCGCCATCCTGGATCATCAGGTCTGTCCATGTGTCATGCTTCTTCCTGCCTCAGAGCCTTTGTATATGCTGTTACTATCACCTGAAATTCTCTTCCTGTTTACCTGGTTAGTATCTGCTTATCTCTCAGCTCTTGGTTGAGATGCCACTTTTTTTTTTTTTTTTTGTAGTAACAGGGCTAGAACTCAGGGCCTACACCTTGAGCCACTCCACCAGCCCTTTTTATGTTTGTGTTAGGTATTTTCAAGATAGGGTCTCAAGAACTATTTGCTCAGGCTGGCTTTGAACCTTGATCCTCCTGATCTCTGCATCCTGAGTAGCAAGGATTACAGGTGTGAGATACCACTTCTTGAAGGAGACTTCCCTGAACCCTGACCTATTCCTGATTTATAATATCATAGTATCTCAAAGCTATTTCATCACAGTTACCAGCCTTTTGTGATCTGTTATGTGATTATTTGATTAAGGTCTGTGTCCCCCACTGGAATGTAAGGATTACACTCACTGCTGTGCCTCCGATGGCCAGCAAAGCACCACTGTGTGCTCACATGACTTTTCTCTTTTCTCTTTCCTTAGCTGAGAGTGCAGAAGTCCTCCACAGGACTAGGAAGTGGACTTCTCAGACTGCCTATTTTAACTTACTGTGCCAGCGGCATCCCTGACCCCTGACGGATGTGTCTGGTCTCCTAATCTGATCTCCCTTTCCTCTCCAGAACCCAGGAGGGTGCTAACATCACTCTCCTGGAGGCTCGGTGAGGAACCTTCCTGCAATGCACCCTAACAAGATCCTATCAGATGGCTCAAGGGGAACAAATTTGTGCCACTGCAAAGTCTCCACCTACTACAGGTGTCACCACAGAGGGAGGATCACAAGTCAGGAACAGAAGAAAACCTGGGATCATTAGCCAGTGTGACAAGATTTTGAACCTCGGCCTCACCCTGGCCTCTTAGTTCTAAGCATTGTATTGCCACCTTTTTGGGTAAAACTTCTCTTACTGTTTATATATTATCTTCATTCTCAATTTCTTTCTTTTGGGGGTTCACAAATTCTAAAAATACCCTTCTGTCAGTCTTTTCCAATTCTGAGATTATTTCTGGCAGGCAAATTAAAGCATAATTCAGTTGCCTCCTGATATGCTGACTTTAAGAATGCCTGGCATGGTGGCTCATGCCTGTAACCCCAGCTACTCGGGAGGCAGACAGTAGGAGGATAGTGGTTCAAGGTCAACCTGGGCAAAAAAGTTAGACTCCTCTACCCCCGCAAAAAAGCAAGCCAAGCATGATGGTACACACCTGTATCTCAGTTAGGAGAGATCACAGGCAGGACAACTGGAGTTTGAAGCTGACCCAGGCAAAAATGCAGGACTCTGTCTGTAGAAAAAGGGCTGGGAGTATGGCTCAAGTGTAGAGCACTTGCCTTGCAAATTGTGAGGCCCTGAGTTACAACCCCAGTACAACCTAAAAAAAAGTCTAAGTTCTAAAATCTATTTTACCTTGCAGCTCTTTCAAGTGTAACCTACGACACCGTTCATATGTTTAAGTAACAAGATAAATTAATAATATTAAATTTACCATTCTGAAGTGCATGTGATACAATTCACAATAATGTGCTGGAAGAAGAATAGGTGTTATATGCTGGGAAAACTGGTTATCTACATGCAGAAGCCTGAACCTATACCCGTGTCTTTCACTCTGTAGAAAAATCAACTTTAAATGGATCAAAGATTTTTTTTTTTTTTGGTGAGACTGGGATTTGAACTCAGAGCTTCATGCTTACAAAGCAAGCACTCTATCACTTAAGTCACACCTTCAGTCCATCTTGCTCTGGTTATTGTTTGGAAAAGGGGTCTCACGAGCTATTTTCCTGGGCTGTCCTCAAACAGCAATCCTCCCCATCTTAGCCTCCCAAGAAGCTAGGATTACAGGCATGAGACACTGGCGCCTGGCTTGGATAAAAGATCTTAATGTAAGATCTGAAACACTGAAATTATGACAGGAAAAAATGGGGAAAATTCTGGAAGACATAGATAGGCCTAGGAAACTGTTTTCTGAATAGGACTCCAATTACCAGGAAATAAGAGCAAGAATTAACTAATGGGACTGCATCAAATTAAAAAGTTTCTGCATATAAAAAGAAAGTTACCCAGAATCAAGAGACAACCCCACAGAACGAGAGATTTTCACCAGCTATTCAACAGATGAGGGATTAATATCCAGAATATACAGAGAGCTCAAAAAACTAAACAGTACTATAAATCCTAGGTGGCAAAGATCAGGAGGATCACAGTTTGAAGCCAGCCCAGGAAAATAGTTTGCAAGATGTGTCTCAAAAAAACCCATCGCAAAAAAGAGCTGATGGAGTGGTTCAAGGTGTAGGATCTGAGTTCAAACCCCAGAGCTGCAAATAAAGAACAAAAAACAAAACAACAAAAAACCTAAACAATAGAACAAATCATTCAATTAATAAATGGGCAAATGAATTAAACAGTTCTCAGAAGAAATATAAATGGCTAATAAATACATGAAGTAATGTTCACTATCCTTAGCCATAAGGGAAATATAAATCAAAACTACCCTAAGATTTTATCTTATCCAGTCAGACTGACAATCATTAAGAAGAAATCAACAACAAATGCTGGTGAGAATGTGGGGAAAGGAACCCTCACACACTGTTGGTGGGAATGTAAATTAGTGCAGCCACTATGGCAATCAGTAGGAGTATCCTCAAAAAGCTAAAAACAGACCTACCTGATGATGCCACCATACCCCTGTTGAGCCTACATTCAAAGGAGTGTGAATCAATCCACAAGAGGAATATGTGCATGCCCGAGTTTATTGCAGCTCTCTTCACAATAGTCAAAATGTGGAAATAGCCAGGGTGCAAACGACCGATGAATGGATAAAGAAAATTGATATATAATATAGCATAACATAATATAACATAACATAATATATATGGGATTAATATTTTAAAAAAGTAAGCCAAGCTCAAATGGTCAAATATCGCATGTTCTCGCTCATTTATGGAACCTGGAGCTACAATGATGATGATGATAATGGGACATGAATGTATACGGGGGACAGTCTGGGGGGTAACAGGAGGGGGCGGGGGAAAGAAAGGATGCTGGGGTAAGGAGGATGAAAGCACACTGCATATATACATGTAACTACCATACAATGAAACCCACCAAACACTGGGGAAGAGGGAGGGGGATGGGACTATAATGGAGGGGTGAACTTGTTCAAGACATAGCATGTGCATGTGTGGAGCTATCACAATGAAATCACCTCATGTTATTAATGTATGATAATTCAAAATAAAAATTAAAAATATTTTAAAAGGGTGTTATACTGTAATCCTGTATGCTAAAAACACAGCCATAAAATAATATATATATATATTTTTTGCAATACTGGAATGTGAACTCACAACCTACACCTTGAGACACTCCACCAGCCTTTTTTGGTTATAGATATTTTTGAGATAGGGTCTTGTGAACTATTTGCCTGGGTTGGCTTGAACCTTGATCCTCCTGATCTCTGTCTCCTGAATAGCTAGGATTACAGGAATGAGCTACCAGCATACAGCCATAAAATAATTTTTAGTTATTTTCAAAGTCTTTAGTCCTCTGAAGTTTTCCTATTCAGCATCTAATCAGTGTTCCTTTTTCACAAAGCAACTAGAGATGTGGCCATGAAGGAGAAAATCGAGTATTTTGATCCTCAGATTGGACTTCAGCCTCTCCGGAGACATTTTGGGTTTCCTACTTGGCAGGCACTAGTTCAGAGTCAACTCTGCCTTTCCAGCCCCAGTCTGTACAATCAGCCTGGGGAAAAAGCAAGTATTTATAGAGACCGCAGGCAAACCTCCCCCAGTTCTCTTTCGGCACTCTAATTAGAAAGGCTAAGTGGGCCCTGGTGGTTCATGCCTGTAATCCCAGCTACTCAGAAGACAGAGATCAGAAGGATCATGGCTCAAAGCCAGCTCGGGCAAATAATTCGTGGGGCCGTATCTTGAAAAAACCCTTCACAAAAAAAGGCTGGTGGAGTGGCTCAAGGTGAAAGCCCTGAGTTCAAGTTCCAGTACCGCAAAAAAAAAAAAAAGCTAAGTGGGCGGCCCCTCCCCTCTCATGAAAATCATCTCTAAAGAAACACTGAAGCCTTTACCAAAGGGCACTGACCCAGACAACAGAACTTTGGTATCTGTAATGCTTAAAAAATATGCTCCCATTCCCAAGAAAATTACCTTGCCAGGTTCCCTTTAAAGTGACTAACTTTCCTTACTTTATTCCTGTATAATAAAAAGAAACCAAAGAAAATAATTTTTCTTTATTAAAATATTTTATTGATTGAAGATGATCAGTTCACTTAGAAGGGACACAGGTACAAAGTATATTCTTTTTAAAAATTAAATTACAAGTTAAAATGGAAGTCTTTTAGTCGTTACTACAAAAAAACTCCATACAAAACTTGATCTTCCAGCAAACTTTTGTTTGTGTAAGTAGACTGACTACTAGAGACCCAGACAAGATGCGGCTCTGTCGGTTTCGGACAGACAGACCTCAACTGCCAGCAACCAAAGTGACGTACCATTAAAAACATTTTATACCATCTCATCTCATGTCTATGAGCACAGCAAAATTCAGCAATAAAACTTAGAATTTTAGGAGAAAATACCATTTTGGAGCAGACACTGACAAGCTGTTGGTTATAACTTGAATGTACACCCAGGTTTTAAGATAGCAGATAGAGTGGCATTTTTCACATGGGGTTCTCCTTCTCTGAAGAGCTTCTCTAATACTGATCTTTACATAATCCCAAATTTATGTATGTATACTGAAGCCTCATTTCTTATACATGCAAATATTTCTTATGGGAAAAAATGGTCAATTGAAAACAAACAAAATGCAGATGTTTAACAAATCAACCTTTCAGTTTCTCTTCCTTTTGGTATCAAGTGCCTCTTTGTCTTCAGGTGAAGTGTGTCGTATGGATGTCTTCTTTCTGCCTTCCACGTAGATGAGAATCTGCTTCCAGGGGAAGAAAACAGTCAACAAAATGGAAATCAGTTAAGTGCTGGACAGGGTGCTAAGAGCTCCCAGTGTCCATGACACTGACTACACTTCCAGATCTCATCACTGTCAGGTCATGTAACACACTGGTATTACAAATACGAAAACTCAACAAGAGAGAGGACAGGAGGGAGAGGAGGAGGAAGGCAGCAGCTGCCCAGCCTCTGCCATCCCAGCTTTAAAGGCTCTTATACTCACATGGAAAACATCTGCAGTCTGTGCTACTTAAGTTATCAAATTGGATCCTGAGGAGACTGCATGTGACATGAAGGTCTGATAGAAGAAAACACAGCCCAAGAAACACTTCCTGGGGGAGTGGGAGGATGGGAGAAGGGGGTGAGGGGGGTGGGAGAAGGAGGGGAGAGGTGACCCAAACAATGTATACACATATGAATAAATGTATAAACAATTTAAAAAAAAAACACTTCTGGGTCAATAAACTCTCACAAAGCTAAAACCCCACATACTGATTTCTTTCCAGTTAGACATTTGGACGAATGCTGAAATGCTAATTTACAGGCCATCTTTGTTGTTGTTTGCACAGGGTCTCAATACATAGTTCAGTCTGGCCTTGAACTTACTATCTTCCACCTCAGCCTCCCAAGCGTTGGAATTACAGGCATCTGTCAACATGCCTGATCTTAGATTCAGATTTTTAAAGCTGGGTCTATACATTTACTTTCTTAAATTTAAAATTCTAGGTACTGGGATGGGGTGATGTAACTAACGTACAATATAAATGGAACTGTCACTATGAATATCCCCTGTACAACAAATATATCCTAATAAAAAATTATGAAAAAAAATAAAGATAAACTTCTAGGTACTGAGAACAACTTTTTGATCTGTATTTCTCTTACAAGTAATTGACATTTTACTCAGGTTAAATTTAGAAGGTGTGTACAGTATAAATAGGTCAAGCAAAAGAGAAAGGATTACTGGTCAAACAAATACATGGTCCTAACTATATTATCAGTGTTCCTAAGTTACTTATTAAATATTAATTGAGATACAAGGTGGGACAAGCAAAGGTGACTTACTCATGATCATGATGAAAAGTGAAGTTGACTTTCTTTCCTTCAATGACTGACTATGGTATTTTTTTGAGCTGACTCTTCTGAGAGGTCTAAGTTCTAGAAAACAATTCCCATATTAGTACCCAGCATAGAGAAAATGGAAAACATTTAAGACTACACATAAATGTAGCAGAAATGCCTTCAAAAGCCCTTAGGGAATTAATGAACTATGTGAAGTATTTCTATACAGCTATCATACACCCATGAAACATTTGATTTCTGTGTGGGCTGCCTTTTCTAATCTCACAGGACTGCCCTCTTTGCTATACATGCATGATAGCTAAGCTTTGACAATCAGCTACCATTCAATATAACTGGCCCATCCACCAACCTACTGGAGACTGTGTAGTGAACGCTTAACAGACAGTTGTCACTGCTAATAGCCCACAGACTTCTGTGCCTCCTGAGTACACTCTGGCTGGTAGGTAAGCCCACTCCCTTCCTCCGCCCTGCCTGTGCGGCCTACACTCCAGTGTGCCCCCACCCTGCACCCACTTGTGTTTCCACAGCTCTGCGATCTTACTCACTCTGCTTCCTCTTTACCCTTCCCAATCCAAGAGACCTGGTTTCATTCACTGAGAAACATAACCCTCCCAGCAATTCCACTTCTGCGTATGTGCTCTAAAGGACGGGAAACGGGCCTCCACAAGCTATCTGCACACCTATGCCCACAGCAGCACCGTCCACGAAGCAACCCAGGTATCTATCAACCAAATATGGTGTCCGTGTCCAGTGGTCAATGGCGTATGACACATGCCACAACATGGGTGAATCTTCATCAAGACGTGACAAGCAAATCACAGGAAGACCAATGTTGTATTATTCCACTTACATAAAGTACTTAGAGTAGTGAGAGTCAGAGACAGAAGGTAAAACAGTGATTGCCAAGGCCAAGGAGAGTGGGACACGCAAATGATTTAATGGAGGTGGAGCCTCAGACTTGCAAGGTGAAGAGTTATGTCCATACCTGGCTGTGATGGCTGCACAACATAGTGAGCGTCCCTAATTCCACTGCAAGCACATGTAGAGACAGATGAGATGGGAAGCTTTGCTATGTGTGCTCGAACACAGTAAAAACTACACAGCAAACCTCACATTATCCATAGGCTGCCACAAAACGGTATTAAGAACCCTGACAGGACTGGTGAAGTGGCTCAGGTGGGAGAATGCCTGCCTAGAGGTAAAACCACAGTACCACAAAAAAAAAATGCAGAAAATATAGCAGTTTTTTTTTTCTTCTTCCTTTTCTGCAGTACTTAAGGATTAAACCCAGGGTCTTGCGTATGTTAGACAAGTGCTCTGCCACTCAAGCCATACCCCCATACTTTTGTTTTAGAGACAGGGTCTCACTATGTCCAGGCTGGCTTCAAACTTGTTTATCCTCCTGCCTCCACTTACTAACTAGCTGGGATATTACAGCTGTGTGTCACCATGCCCAGCTACGGCTACACCCCCGCCTGTTTTTGAGAGTCTTACTAGATTACGAATGTAGCCCAAGTTGCTGTGACTATAGACACCAGCCACCACACCCAGCTTACAAGTCTTAGAGTGGTAGTTACGATGTCTAGCCCCGTGGACCAGTCACAGCGTCTCCCCATTCTCACTCTTGAAGTGAGGGCTAGATCCAGGATGTAGCTACAGTACACTTTATGACTTCCTTTCTACTCATAGCTTACTGGGGTGTTTTCTGTTGTTTTTATTGAATAGCTAACACATTTATATTGATTAAAAAATCCAAATAATATGAAAAGGCCTGAGTGGAGAAGTGTTGCCTGCAGCTTGTCCTTGACCTATTTGTAACAATCCTATTCTCCGTCCAGTGTGCTCCTGGGCCCTTACATCTGAAGGACACCTATGAACCTTCAGGATAGGACATTTTTCACCTGCCAATGCATCTGTAAGTAGGGCTCTGTCTCAGCTCCGCTCCCGACTACAGCTGAGCAGTGTCCTTGTGCATACTATCACTCATTCATTCAGTTCTCCTTTGCTGGACACGGCCTGCTTCCCATTTTTCACTGCTAGTATAAAGCAATGCTCAAACGAAAATCTTGTACTTCTGCTATTTCATCTCTTGCAGAAGTATCTGTAGAAGAGATTCCCAAAGCAACACTGCTTTGTGGAAGGGTCGGTTCTTCTGTGGTTTTAGAACACCTGGCTGTTTCCTACCAAGAGGCCTGACTCATCCCGAGATCCTCAATGTGGTGTGAGAATGGCTGTTCCACAGAAATGCTCTGAATTACCAACCTGGTCCTCAGCCACAGATGGCAACGCTTTGTGAGGCAGAAAGGCGATCAGAACTTTACCCTGCTTCCTTGTTGCAAAAATTAAGGATAGTTTTACAAAATTATTTGCCTTTTCTGTTTCTAGTTGTAGCAAGTTCAAAGGCATCTGGGGAGGAGTGTGTGAACATGTTGCCAAGAAGATCTCTACTAGTTAAATTCTGTTTTCCCAACATCTCTAGAATTAGTAATCTACCAGCTAATATATTGTTTGGAGCCAGTATTTCTTCCAATTAAATGATTTTCTGATTCTAGCTGTGGGATGCTGAGCAAGAGGGGTCATATAATCCCTTTCTCACCTGTAAAATGAAAGGTTGGGATTAGATACTTCTTTTGAGTCTTACTAGCTCAAAAATTCTCTTAAACCAGGTCCTCACCCACCTCCAATGGCCTTAGTATTTCTTCCATTTATACTTGAGGTCATGGTTTTGCTGTTTTTCCAGTGTTCCTACCAGTTCCATTCAAGGTAGTTACCAAGCATCAGAACTTGGTACAACTCTGTGTACATGATGTGTACTCATTTGGAGACAAACACACAAACACACACAGACCAACACTGAGGACCAAGACAAGAGAATTCTTGTTTATATCTTAAATAGAAATTTGACATAAAACTCTCTCAGCTTTCTGATACCTGAGCTTATCAACTTAAAAAGAGGAAAGAAAGGTTTATTTCAGCTCACAATTTCAGAGGTTTCAGTTGATCAGACAAACCCACTGTTTTTGGTCTGTGGTGAAGCAGCACATCATGGAGGGAGTGGGCAGTGGAGGAGGCCCATTCACCTCACCGCCAGGAATGAAGGAGAAAGAGGAAGGGCCAGGGCCCTGAAATCCTGTTCATGTGTGTACTCCCAATGGCCTAACTTCCTACCATTAGGCCCCACCTCCTAAAGTTTCACCACCTCCCACAGCTCTACAGGCTGGAGGCTAAGCCTTTAATACATGGGACTTTGGGGACATTCCAGATCTAAACTACAACATATGCTAAGGAAGAGGTGATAAAAGCCTAAAGCAGTGAGGATGGGCGGGAGTCTGTCGAGCAGATTAGCTTAAAAGATAGTTCTTCTGTAATACGTATTCTGAAAATGTGACTTGGCTCCAATAATCTGATATTGGTGGACAATCTGGGCATGATATGAAGCTGCATTTGTTTGCATGCCATTTGGTCCCTGAGAAACACTAAGTGAACCATGTTCAGTGGAATGGAGCCCTGTAGGGACACACACATGCACGTGCGCGCACACACACCCAAGCACCCCCAGCCCTCTGGGTAAAGCAGCTATTTATTGCAATACTTATGCACTTCTTAACCATTTAACATGTATAAAACTGTTCTACTATTTTGTCACATTTAAATCTTTTTAGGCTGGGGGTATAGCTCACTGGGAGAGTACATACTTAGCATATCTGAGGCTGGATTCAATTCCTATTACCACAAGAAAAAGTAAATTTATTCAGTAATTGACAAAAACTGTACATATTTATGTTACAGACATGACACTTTGAGATACTGCGCAGTGTGGAGCATGCAAACACTAACTATTGTGTACTGCCCAAACAAAACAAAACTTTTCAGCTGCTCTTCGACAGACATTGGTAAACTGGACGTGATGACCCAGACCTATAATCCCAGGATTTGGGAGGATGAAGCAGTAGGATTTGAATTTGAAACCAGTATGGGTTACATATCAAGACCTTGTCTCAAAAAAAAAAAAAAAAAAGACACACACACACACAAAAAGACACTGTTAAGAAAATGAAAAGGCAAAATACACATTTCCAATATACCTGACAAAGGACAAAGGATTTATGACTCAGTAACAACAAAGGAAACTAATAACAAAGGAAACAACTCAAAAAGAATTTTTTGGTAGTACTGGGATTTGAACTCAGGGCCTTGACTCTATCACTTGAGTATGCCTGTAGTCTTCCAATTCAATTTTAACATAGGGTGTAAGAAAGACATATGGTGAACCAGTAAGCACATGAAAACGTCTGTACCATTAGCCAACAGGAAATGCAAATTAAACCATGAGCTACCTCTTTGTATTTACTAGAATGGCTAAAATCAAAGAGACTGACATGACTAGAACTGATGAGGACACACAGCTGGTGGGAATGGAAAGCAGAAGAACCAACTTGAAAAACCATTCGGCAGTGTATTAAGAAATTGAATGTACACCTGATGGAGAACCAGCAATTCTACTTCTCGGTATTCACCCTGAAGAAATGAAAATGTGTATCCGTAAGAAGAATGATATTAAATGTCCATGGCTCCCAGCTACTTGGGAGGCTGAGATTGGGAGGACTGGGGTCTGAGGCCAGCCTGGGCAAATAGTTTGTGAGACCCCCATCTCCAAAATAACCAGAGCAAAATGGACTGGAGGCGTGGCTCAAGCGGTAGAGCACTGCTTTGCAAGCAGGAAACTCTGAATTCAAAGCCCCGTTCCAAAAAAAAAAGTCATAGCAATTTTATCCATGATCACCCCAAAATGGAAAGACTGGAAATTTAAATATCAATAGGTGAATACTGGCTAGGGATGTGGTTCAAGTGCTAGAGCATCATCTAGTAAGCATTAGGCCCTGAGTTCAAACCCCAGTACCATCAAAAAAACAACCAATGAAAAGTAAATAAAGACTCTGTAGTATAGTCATTTGATGAGCTACTCATCAGCGATAAAACTCAGCAACATGGTTGAGTCTCAAAATAATCACACTAAAAGGAGCTAAATAGAGTGTACACTGGGGTGGGGGTGCAGCTGGGTGACAGGGGCTTGTGAGGCCCTCTGTTGACTCCTAGCAACACACACACACACACAAAATATATACTGTCTGACTGCATTTCCATGAAACTCTGGAACAAGCAGAAAAGCACTAGTCTCTATTGACAAAAATCAGATGAGGCATTGCCTGGGGTAGGGAGGAGGAGAGAATCACTTCAAAAAGCAGGAGGAAATTTGCTGAGGTGACAGTGTCAACAACGTGACTTGAACATTGGTGACATGAGTGCAGGTGTCTTGTCCAAACTTACGGAACCAGCGTGATCTATGCTAGATTTTCTCTAAGGTACTAGGACAGGCTTTAAAGATTATATGCAATCTATATTTTGTTAAGGTTCTTTTTTTTTTATTTCCAGTGCTGGGACTATAATAAGCCCATGTATGCTAAGTACACACTCTACCCCTGAATCTTTAAGCAGTTAGGAAACTGGGCAACTCTCCTGATTTCAAGTCCAGTGCTCTTTTCACTATTTACATAGAGGCTATAAAACCTCTAAGGCAACTTATATGACAGCTATTGAACGGGAAATGTGCTCAGAATAAGCAGTTACAATGAACACGTGAAACATTCCCTGAATGACATTTAGAAAAGAACTATTCTGAGTTCCTAACGCAGTAATGCGTCCACATAGTCATTATGGATGAATGCTAACTCGTTCAGTGAGCCTTAGAGAAACCTGACAGTATCAAAGCTCAGGCTGACAAACTCCCAAGTGCGCCCCTCAGGCATAACAACTGTAAGTGGGAAAACCAATATTAGGACCCTCTCGATACCACAGAATAGGACACAGATGGCACCACCAAAGAATCAGTTATTCCAAAACAAAAACACCCAAGCCTCAAGCTGATCATGACTCTAACCAAGTTGCTAAGTCTAAATGACAGTTTCCAGGAATTATGGGGGATCCAGGAAAGTGCTAACATGACGACAGAGTCAGCAAGATCCAGAATGTGAGAAATTCTTCAGGACAAATGACCCAGTGTTTCTTTTACAAGTGAATGTCATTCCTGGGGTCATGGCTCCAGTGTAGAGCACTTGTCCAGTAAGCATAAGGCCCTGAGTTCAAACCCCAGACCACCACAAGTGGATGGCATTAAACACAAAAGATGGGCCTGGGATAAAGCTCAGTGGTAGAGTGCATGGATAGCATGTGTGACACCTGAGGTTTGATTCCAGTACGAAAACATTAAAATAAGGAAGAAGAAAAAGAAAACAGAAGGAAGATGATGGAAGGGAAGAAACAGTGGTAGTAGAGAGGGAATAAATGAATTATTGGTGATTAAATTTTAAGGGACATGGTTAAATGCAAAGTATGGACCTTGGTTGGGTATTTGTTTGAACAGAGACATCTGTAAGAAAAATGGGATAAAGTTAACATGGTCAGCATTAGATGATAATAAAGATGACTGTTGTCTTGGTTGGGTGTGACAGTTTCTATGATTGTTTTTAAAAAGACCATATCTAAAGCTGGGCATGGTGGTACAGAGCTGTAATCCCAGCACTTGGGAGGGAGAGACAGGAAGATTGTGAGTTCAAGAACAGCCTGGATTATACTTTGAGACCCTGTCTCAGGAAACCAAAAATCCCCAAGATTTATGTTCACATGCCCCAAATAATGAGGAGAGAGGGAGAGGCAGTACGGATGCGATGACATTTGAATATGATTTTTTTCCTCCTTAAAATAAAGCAAGTGTGTTACTTCCCTAAGAAACATACAGAAACTTTCATTCTAGGGTGCTGGGGGCATGGCTCAAGTGGTAGAGTGGTGTCTAGCAAGCTCGAGGTCCTGAGTTCAATCCCAGTACCCACGACTACAAAAAAAAAAAAAAGAAAGAAAAAGTTCCCTCCAGTAATACACACTCTAGCACTCAGTGGTTTTCAGGCCCTCCCAGTACTGTCACAAGGAAAGGAAACGCACACTTCTGTCACTGCTGTTGAGATTCTCAGAGCTGATGGGCAGCAGTGTGCTCAGCTCCAGATCGGTGACCATTTGCCGAGACTCTGCCAGCAAGCGCTGAAGCTTACTTGTGGGGGAGCAGTCATCCTGGGAAAAGCGTTCAGGAAATGAGAAGCATAGTGTTATGTTCACAAATCCAACTTACAGACACAAACATTAACTGCCTGTTGATATTTGACTAAGCTATTACAAAGCAAAGCAGGACATCCAATACTACAACACCAAATTCCTTTTATTTGAGTCTACTCAGTTAAACAATTGGACTTAAAGAGAAATAGTTTACTGTAATTAATTAACATCAATTTGACAAAAACATCCTAGATATTTAGGCTTCCTAAATAAACTTTTCAAGTCATAATTAGCAGGTCAAAATACTTACAAAATGGAACTTTAACACTAAAGGCTGTTCAGGTTTTTAGGGTATGTTGATTCAGTTTATTTATTTTTTGATGGCACTGGGGTTTGAACTCAGGGCTTCACACTTGTTAGGCAGGCACTTTACCACTTGAGCCACTCTGCCAGACTGTTTACTCTTTAAAAAACAAAACAAAACAGGGCTGCCTAGCCAGTGTGAGGCCCTGAATTCAAATTTCAGTGCCACAAAAAAAAAAAAGAAAAAGTAGGAAAGAGAGCTTTCATAGGGTTTAAAACTATAAACACAAAGGCTGGCTGAATGACTCAAGGCCTCAGCCTAAGATTCTCATTATCAGAATGGAGCTTTAAATTTGCCATCCTGGGATCCTGGTAACTCATGAATGTTAAGACGTTTTCTTCTATAGTGAAATTCTGTTATTGTGCATTGGTCAGTATACTTATCTCTGCAGATAGATGTCCATAAGGTCACCATCACATCACCTGTGTCTCTTTGTAGACTACTATTGCCAGAGTGTGTGTTTGGAGGAAGGGGTAGCTAAGAAAAGCAGTTGGGTGACATGCTCTGGGTGTACTTTCTGTACTGCTGGGGTTTTTTGGATTTGTTGTGCTTTTAAACAATGAAGATATTAAGTTGCCAAAAAACAAAAATACAACTTTTCTTAAAAGAAAAAAAAAAAAAGAGCCGGGCACTGGTGGTGGCTCACGCCTGTAAAACCAGCTACTTGGGAGGCTGAGATTGGAAGGATTGAGGTTAGAGGCCAGCCCAGGCAAACAGCTCACAAAATCCCCATCTCCAAAATAATCAGAGCAACATGAACTGGAGGTGTGGCTCAAGTGCTAGAGTGCCTGCTTTGCAAGCATGAAAGCCCTGAGTTCAAACCCCAGTTCCACTAAAAAAAAAAAAAGTTTGCTTTAAAAGAACCTTAAAGTCCTATACTATAATTAAAAAAACTCCTGAGGTAAAGCCAAAATTAAGCAATAGTGCTACAGAAGAATTAAAAGCTTGCTGAGGGAAAGCCTTGCTTGAATAAGCTGGGAACTGCTGAGCACAGTACACACCTGTTCGTTGGACATTGCTGCATCTTTGCTGGGTAGTGAGCCCGTGGATGAGCTCTTTTTGTCAAGCAGGGCCTCAGTCTCACCTTCTCTTACTGCAGATTTTGAACCCAGGCAGTGGGAATGCTGGATGGCAATAAATTCACTGTGAACAATGAACCAAACAGAATCAGACACCATAAGTATTACTGTGCACGGATTGCTGATATATTTATACTTAAAACTGCCAAGAGGACAAAAAAGTGCCTTTTATTAATTTATTTAGAGAAAAGGTCTCAACTATGCAGTCCAGGCTGGCCTAGAACTTTTGGATTCTCTTGCCTCAACCTCCTGAGTGCTGGGATGACAGGCATGCACCACTATACCCAGCTTAAGTGTTTTAAATGACGAGCTCAAGGCTGGGGAGGATATTTTAGATTTGGGTATAAATAAATTCACATCTTTTGCAAGTAAAAAGTAAAAAAAAAATGTAGTTAAGGGTAACTACAGAATAAGGAACTTCCCTCCTCCAAAAAGTACAGAGAGAATTGGGAGTATAGCTCAGTGGGAGAGAGAGAGATGAAGAGAGAAAAGGGATGGGGGAATGGCTCAAGTGGTAGAGCTCCTGCCTAGCAAGCACAAGGCCCTGAGTTTACCACCAAGGGAAAAAAAAAAAAGGTTTTAGGGATAGGATCATCCAAAAGGGAGGGAAAAAATTAACACAGTGTAAGGCTCAACTTACACAGCATTAGACTTTTGGTTTATGAGACTCATGTTTGTTAATGGTTCTGTAAGGCCCTTTTGTAAAAGTGGAATGGCACCTGCAGTACTTGGTCTCAGGGAATACACAGAAGAGCAGGTGCCTATGGTTTCTGCCTCCGCAGGCATACCTCTCTTTGTCAAATGGAACAAATGTGAACACTTTACTTCGATAATAAAGTAGATACACAAGTTCTTGTAATCTAAGAAAAACCAGGAAAACAGAATTATCTTTTCTGCTTAATCAAGTATTTGTATGGGATGCCTTGGCAATGGACTCCTGCTGGCAGAACAAGCAGTCACTTCAATTATTTTAAGTCAAGGAGGTCAAAGGGCCTTGAAAGAAAACTCTGAGTGTAAACTTGAATTTATTTCATACATTAAATTTAGTATGTATCCATTCTGCTCTCAAAACTATCCAGTGCACAGTTTTCACTTAATTTCTGAATGTTCTTGTTTGGTAGTAATAAATAGGCAATTGTGCCCTACTGACACTTATAGTTATGTAAAGATATTTAAACCAAACATGACTAGATGACATTTAGTGTGACAACCAACTTTTAATTTTATAATTGGCAGAATATCTGATTTTTAAAGGACTCAAGTTTCTAAAAGGACCACAGAATACTCAAAATAATTTAAGTACCAAAATTTTAATCATAAAGTCCTATGAGAGTCAATGCAATGATTAAAATAAGCTTCTCAATATAGAAACCTCATTCTTAAGATTGAAGAGGTATGCTTTATTTAAAAATAGAAGACATTACAGCGCCACTCAACCACAAGATTCAGCAATTCTAACAATAAGATGAGCCTGAATAATTCAGAATATGCTAATATCTAATCTATTTTCTTCTCTGAAAAGAGGAATTTTTATTGGCTTATTAAACACAAATATTCTTTCTCTCACATAACTTTTTTTAAAAGAAAGTCTGGGAAATGTAAAGTTGGAAACAAGTATGAGCTGAACACAAAGCAGCAGCAGTTTGGATATATAATGTGCCAAGTGACCCTGGATAGGACAAAAAGAAATTGTGACAGTGCAGTCCGGACTTGAAAGGGTCAGCTTGTGGATTCCACATGGATCTGGGAAAGGAATGCTCCAGAGCAGCATTCCTCTCTGTGTAGTGACCCACCCATTTGTTTTTTAATAAAACATACTTGCCCATCTCATAACTGGTTTTGTTTTTAAGAAAAGCCTTTGCCTCAGAAGTCACCCTCAGTACAAACTCTTCAGGGGAGTCTAACAGGCTCCTTGTACAATCAAAGACTCATCTGCCTATGCTGTGATGAAAGAGTGAAGGTCTATCTTTAAGCAAGATCTGTTTGCAAACAATGCTTTCAGGCTAGCAGGAGGTACACAGTGGCTACTATAGCCCTGCACTTCTGCACATTGGCAGATGTGCTCCTTGGGTGTTTACAGATGTGAGCCTCACTAACCTGGCCGAGGAACTGCATTTCGTTCCACTTCCTGAACAAGTGCACACAGTCTTGTGGCGAACAATCCTCTCTACTTTGGAAGGCTTGAAAATGTTCATCCACTCAGCATCAGACATGTGGCCTGGGGCTTCGATGATGAGGTTACTTGGGTGGCAGCACTTGGACTCACACAGCTCACTCTCACCCAGACAGCCTCCATCTTTCGGGCAACAAGAGATTTCAGATCTTTCTGTTGCCTCATGACATTCCACCTCCAGCTTCTCTGCTTGTTTTGAACCAGGACTGTTGGCCAGGCCCAGGTAGACATTGACATCATGCCACTGCTTTTCATCAGGTAACGATACAGATGTTTCTGAGAGCTGTTTCTCTTCATTCTGAAGCCCAATTCCATTACTTTTTGCTGATTTTGCATGGCTCTTGCACAATGTAATTTTGTTTTTAGGTTCAATCTGGATTTTTCCGCCCAGAGACCAAGACTTTTGTTTTTCCGCTAAGTCTTTAGTAAGCAGAGATGATACAGTAATTATATTTTTTTCCCCAAATGCAGTATTAATCTGTAGTTTCTTCTCTTTGCATATATCACAAGAGTTCTTGTCTGACCTATTTTGCTGAGCCAATATGGCCTCAAATTTTTGGTCCTTAACCAGTGACTTCTGATTTTTCTCCCTCTTAATATCGACTTTTGGGTGGTTATTTTCAAGGTCTGATAAACACATGTCTCTGCTATAATGGAATTACAAAAAAAAAAATGGGGGTTGTAAGATTAGAGTTTATATTATCATTAACTATTATTTTCCCCACACCTCATTGGTAAAGTTAAATCCCAGTAACACCCTTTAGTCTCACCTTCAGAGCCCACTTCCAGCCCTACCTCTTTCAGGAAGTATTCTGACTGACGAACTTACACTCACTCTCCCTTTCCCATCCTTAATGCCTACAGTACTGTCTAAAAACAAGAACATCAAGAATATTGTGTAAATGTAACAAAACCTATACCATGAGGGTTTCCATGTCACATGTACTCAGGTATTCTTTAATCTTTCTTTTTTTGTTTGTTTCTTTTTTTTTTTCTTTTTTTGTGGGACTGAGGTTTGAACTCAGGACTTCCCACTTGCAAAGCAGATGCTCTATCACTTCTATCACTTGAGACACATCTCCAGTCCATTTTGCTCTGGTTACTTTGGAGATAGGGCCTCTCAAACTATTTGCCTGGGCTGGCCTCAAACTTCAATCCTCCCAATTTCAGCCTCCAAGTAGCTAGGATTCCAGGTATGAGCCACAGACACCTGGCTCTGGTAGTCTTTTTGTTTATTTGAGACAAAGTTTCACTGTGTAGCCCAGACTGGCCTCAAACTCATGATCCTCCTGCCTCAGCCTCCTGAGTGCTGGGATTACAGGCAAGTAACCACCATGTCTGATCTGTATTGTTCTGATTCCTTAGAAAACAACTCTTTCCTGTAACTGCATAAACCATTTTATGCTTTTCAGGAGTAACTTCAATTCATCTAGTACTTCCCAGTGGCAATGAAGCCCAAAGAGAAGAAAGACTTGATACACCAGAGGCTTTTGCCTGAAAGAGAATCCCGAGTGGGTCTGTAGTCTACCAGTGGCAACAGCAGCTGGCTGAATAATAGAGAGACAACCACCAGCAGCTGGCCTAAGAAGAAAAGTACAGACAGCAGCAAAGTGTAGCTAAATCCCCATCATTCTGCTGCAGCAGTAATGGCCTCTCACACCCCTCCCTCAGCTAATTCCCATCATTCCGAACTCCTTTCCCAGGGAATGGGGCTGCAGTCAACCTGATTCAGTCCAAACTTGGGGATTACTTGCAGTCACGGGGAACTTCCCTAACTCCTCTCCCTTTTCTTGGCTCTGAAACATTCTGCTTGGAAAAGGAGACTAACTTTAATTGTGGTATAGTTATATGCCCATAAATTAAACCACACTTTATGTACCATATTTTAATTTTACAGAAGTCAGTTTCATCACCACACTGCTTGTTGTTAAAAGTTAGGGAAGATGTCTCCTATTAGCAAGGCAAAGGGCAGTGACCACCCTCAGAGCTGAGTTACCATTCTTTGGCATTATTTCTTTGAAACAAGTATTTCCTATTCCTAGTCTAGTGCCCAAACACTGTGAGTACTGGATGAATGAAGGAAGGACTGACTCATCTCCAAGTTTCTACTCTAGTTCACATGGTTTCCACCCCAGCTCCAACCCTTCTACCCGAGAGACACAAGGCATGTATAAAGATTTTACTTCTATCAAATGGCTAAATTAGTATCATGATTAGAATTCTTAGATCAGAACCCAGGATTATAATGATAATTACTAGCTCACATATGCTCATTTCCCACTGTATGAGGAACAATAGCAGGTACTAGCTTACAATAAGTACTGAGCAAATATTGATGAAATAATTTAAAAAAATAAAAAATAACGATGACATAAAAGATCATATTAAAAGTATCTCCTGAGATTACCTGGATTCTAGAACCTCTGATTCCTCCATCTTTGAATCATATATCTGTATCAATTCCTGACAATTTTCCACATTAAAATTAAGAAACTGCAGATCACTCTGTTGTTTTACATAAACCTGCCATAGATATTGATAAATCAATACATAGTATAATAATAAAACCAAGTTGAAGCAACAATTTGGCACTTTCAAACTCTAAAACAGATTAAATGGTTTTTGCTTTTATTTTTCCTATGTTCACACTGAGATTAGACAGTACGGCTGGTCTCCTAACCTTTAACGGCCATAATGAAGACCTTATCTGCTCAGCCTAATATGATGCGTAGCTAATGTAGCATAGTTAGGATTCCAGAAGCACCATAAACAAAATCAACAGGCACACAGTTTCCTAATTTGTTCATAAACATTTCTCACCTAATAGTTAAGATAGTCAGGGCCATACCTGTCTCAGATTATGCAGCTCTGAATTTGTGCGTTCTTGCTTTGACTTTGCAATATCAAGTAACTCATCTTTCCTCTTTTCTCTCTCCACTATTAAGAATAAAAATGATTAAACGTTTTTTTTATCAGCCATACCGATACAAACCTCTCCACTTCTAAAAACCTAAGGCAGGGCCGGGGACATGGCTTATGTGGTAGAGTGCTTACCTAGCATGCAGGAGTGCAGGACGCTCTGGGTTTCATCCCCAGTACCACAAAAAAAGAAACAAACAAAAACGCTAACACCTTTTGTTTCTGAACTTAAAACTGAAGAATGGTGATTCTGACTAGATGCTTCCTCAAATAGGAAAATTTCACAATATAATTAATATGGTACATCAAAAAAAGATTCAAGGAACTGGAGGTGTGCTTCAAGTGGTAGAGTGCCTACATAGCAGGCACAAGGCCTGAGTTCAACCCCAGTAACACACACATCAAAAAAAAAAAAAAAAAGGAGAAAAAGGATTCAGAAGCGCATGTGTGTGTTGCACATAGCCAGGTGCCAGTGGCTCACGCCTGTACTTGTAGCTACTCAGGAGGCAGAGATCAGGAGGATCATGGTTCAAAGCCCCACTGGGCAAATAGTTCACAAGACTCTCTTGAAAAAATCCATCACAAAAAAGGGCTGGTGGAGTGGCTCAAGGTGTAGACCCTGAGTTCAAACCCCAGTACTAAAAAAAAAAGCTTGGAGGCAAGTACACCAAAGTTTTAAGAAGCTACTAATATTATTATTATTATTTTGCAGTACTGGAGTTTGAACTCAGGGCTTCACACTTGCTACGCAGGTGCTTTACTAGCCAATCTGCGAACCCTTATTTTTTTGGGGCGGGTGGAGGTTGGTGGGGTTCTTTTTGGAGACAGGATTTTACTATGTTGCCCAGGCTAGCCTTGAACTTGAGATCCTCCTGCCTCAGCCTCCCAAATGCTAGGATCACAGGTGGTACCACCATTCCTAGCTAGAAATTTATTTTTAATAAGTTGGGTACCTGGTGGTACACACCTGTAGTCCCAGCAACATGGGAGGTCTGACACAGAGGATTACCTGAGCCCACGTGTTTGAGACAAGAGTTAAATAAGACCCCCATCTCAAAAAAAACTTTTTTAAAAGAAGTTATTTTAGGAGCTGAGGGTGCGGCTCAGTAGTAGAGTGCTTGCATAGCATGCACAAAGCTCTGGGCTTAATCCCTAGCACCATCACAACAACAAGGAACCTACAGAGGGTTGGAGACATGGCTCAGGAGGTAAAGTGCCCGTGTAGCAAGTGTGAAGCTTTGAGTTCAAACCCTAGTACTGCCAAAAAAAAACCAAGAATCTATAGAAAGGAAAGAATTTAAAGCACTATACCTGAGCATACATTAATGTTATTCTTAAGGAGAACTGACTCACACAAAACTGAGACATCAACAATAAATGCTTCACTTGAAAAAAATACCAGGAGATGAAAATGCTATTATTTTGATTTGGTCATTATACGTTGTGTAATGCAATGAATTACCATACTGTATCCCATAAATATGTATAATTTTTTTATTCTGGGGATCAAATTCAGACCTTGTCTCAAAATAAATAATTTTTTTAAAATAAAATAAATTTTGGCTAGGAATGTAGCTCAGCAGTACCTGCTTAGCATATACAGGTCCTGGACTCAAATCCCAGCATCACAAAAAAAAGAGAAACAAATTGGGGGTGCAGTGGGTTATGCTTATCAAGCACAAAGCTCTGAGTTCAAAACCCATATCACCAAAAAGATAAAAAAAATTTTGGTGGTACAGGGATTTTAATTTTTAAAAATCTAGTGAAACACCACTACATAACTGTAAGAATGGCTAAAATAAAAACTAGTGCCATTGGGAGGGGGTAGAGGGAGGGGGTAGAGGGAGGGGGAAATGACCCAAACATTGTATGCACATATGAAAAAAAAAAAAAAAAAAAACTAGTACCAATACCAAAAGAGGCAAAAAGATTTCTAAGAACTGAATTCAAATTAAATATATAGGACAAGGTGTGTGGCTCAAGTGGTAGAATGCCTGCCTAGCAGGTACAAGTGTAAGGTCCCGAGTTCAAACCCCAGTACCACCAAAAAAAAAAAAAAAAAACCAAAGTATGGAAAATGACCTCTAACTATGCATGAATTGGTTTTAAGTAAATCTGATACAATTTAAATAAAACATTTACAACTTTTACCTGTGGTTTTTTCATACATTTTCACACTTTTTTCTTGTGCATAAAACATAATAAAAATAGTTATCATCATTGTACATTTGGAACATTACAGTAATAATAATATTTAAATGTGTTCTTTGCTGTGGACCGGACTTCTCCCTGACAGTTGGTTTGGTGGTATTTGCTGGTGCTCACAAACTCAGTGAAAAAGAGTGAGGTGTGATCTGTGAAAGGCCATTCCCAACAACAATGAGACCTGGTGTAATTGTTCTAGGAGGGGGAAGAAGATAAAGGAGAGTGGTGGAAGGGGTAAGTCTCGGTATATTGTAGTTCTGTGAATGTCACAGTGCACCCTTATGTGATAATATGCTAGTAAAAAGAAAAACAGGGAAGAAGAAAAGCCACCCCAACATGCTTAGTATGCAAGTCTCAAAGGCGGATGTGCAGTACCTTTTTCTTCTTCTTGCTGTTTTTTGCAGTGATAAGGATCACATGTAGGGCACATGGTAGGCCAGTGTTCTGCCACTGAGCTACACTGCCATACTGCCAGTCCTCAATTCTTTTTTTTTTTTTTTTGGGGGGGAGGCAGTACTGGAGTTTGAACTCAGAACCTCACATTTGCTAGGCAAGCGCTCTACCACTTGAGCCACTCCACCAGCCCTTTGTGTGTATGTGTGTTGGGTATTGCCTGAGCCACCAGCACCCAGTGCTCAATTCTTAATTTCTTTGCATCAGGTAAGTTAAGACCATAATAAAAAGCCACATAAATATAGTAGGCCTGCATCATTTCTATGGAATTGCGTTTAGTTTATGTGAACAAAGGAAAAGTAAAACGGGAAACCCAGCTCTCTTAATCGCAGAAATGGTAACTCTCAGAGAGTATCAATTCCACACCTCTCGTATTAATAGCAACTTCACATGCTGGATATATTACCAACAGTTAGAGGTACTTATTTTGAATACAACAAGGCCCCTAAACAAAAGTCAATTACTTCAGGGTAACTTGAAATGTATTTGAAAAAAAGAAGAAAAAAATCCCAAGAATAAAATGAATTTGAATTTTGCCTTAATCTCTGATTTCTGAATAACCTGTTGCATAAGAGGCAACTCTGCTGTAAATACTGAAGTCTCACTAGTTCAGTTAGCTGTCTCCATGGCTGGGCTTATCTGAGAGATCAAAGTGGAGTGGGTCTGCCTATTGTCACAAGTTGGTCACAAAGCAAAGAGGCATGGAGCTCTGCTAACAGCTGCCTGAGCAAGCAGCCAAAGAGAACAGCATGCATTGGGCCCTGATTCTGGCTGAGGCTGTGGCGTTTACTGGCTGGGAGGCCTAAGGCAAGAACTGAATGGAAGGAGCCCTCATCTACAGGCCTGTCAGCACCCACTGAAACAGTTCTCTTTGCAAACCCCTGAGGAGCAATGCACAAGCAAATTAAATGTCTCTAAGCCTATATGATGAACTTCACCTTCAACAAGAAGAAAAAAAGTTTTGAACTTAAAACAAAAGCTGGTGGAGTGGCTCAACCAATAAAAGCACCTGCCTAGCAAGCATGAGACCCTGAGTTCAAAACCCATTGCTGCCAAAAAAAAAAAAGGAAAACAAACAAAAGACAAAAAGTAAAACTTGAGGACATCTTCTAACTTCAATAAAGGGTATTAATTTTTAGCCATAGCATCTGATAGCATATTATCATGTTAAGCCTTTTACATTCCTTTACTCAATTCCCTTTAACTAAAACATACAAAAATTGCTTTGAGACAATGATATGCAATTGTCTTCAGTAGAAAGATGTTTAGGAAATCTTATTTTAAATATATTTCACAAAACAAATGATAGCATTATCTAAAGTTCCACATGCTTTTCTTATATGTAATAGGATGCATGAGAAAAAAGTGATGAATCAAAAATTGAAAGGAGGGGCTAGAGGTGTGGTTCAGGTGGTAAGAGTGGTTGCCTATCAAGTGCAAGGCCCTGAGTTCAAACCCCAGTACTGCCACACACACACACAAAAAAAAAAGTGGGTGGGCATGGTGGTATGCACCTATAGTCCCAGCTACTTGAGAGGATTGCTTGATCTTAGGAGTTCAATGACAGCCTGGACAGCCTACCAAGACCTTGTCTCAAAAAAAGAAAAGAGAGAAGAGACAGACCATGAAAGAAAGGAGAGGGGGTAAAATATCAAAATATCATATAAACTTCATTTTTTTCTCTGACCTTCCAGGGCATTTTATTCATAGCACCTGTATAATGCTAAATAAATTTGTCAGCCCTAGTAGAGTGCCTGTCACACAAATACTGAAACAAAGATTGCTTTAATTCAACTGTAAAACTACAAATAGCTTTATCTTTATTCACATAAGAGGTGGAAATGAGACTCAGCAATTCTAGAAATAATGAAAACAGTGACTTCTGGTGGCAGAAAACTGTACTTTGCCCCAATCTTTAATCACAGAAGAGTAAAAATAAAAACTTCATTGCATTTGATTTTTTTTTTTTTTTTTGGCAGCACTGGGGCTTGAACTCAGGGCCTCACACTTGCTAGGCAGGAGCTCTCCCCACTTGAACCACTCCACCAGCCCTATTTGCCTAGGCTGGCCTCTGAACCATGATCCTCTGATCTCTGTCTCCTGAGTAGCTGGGATTACAGAAGTGAGCCACTGGTGTCCAGTTTATATTTGAAATTTTTAAATAGTAATACCGTGTTTTTTCCTTTAATTTGCAGAAATGTATTTTCTGACTAGAAGCAGGGGTATTGAGGGCAGTGATAATCTAATTTTCTATTTGGAACTTTACCTCCAAATCTATTGTGTCTTCTTAATGCAAATTACCAACAATGAAACCCTAACAAAACGCTGGCTGGCTCTCCATGTCAGTGATTCTGTTGGGAGAGAGAAAGGGAGGCCTTCACTAGTGGGAACTCTGAGGCAGGGTATGGAGGCCGTGTTCATGTTTATCAGAAGGGGGCATAACAACACACGGAGAAACTTGCTCATCAGGGAAAATTTACCCCCAGTATTCTTACTGAGGGTCATACTGATGCAACAATATGAATGAGCATTTTTCCAAGCACAGTAACTCTAGGTAATTTGTTTGCAAAACTAGAAGAATGTTCAGTTCCTAAATGTGTGTCTGTGTGCGTGTGTGTGTGTTGCTGGCTACCTGTGTCTTGCGCGTGCTAGGCAAGCCCTCTACCCCTTAGCTACAGTCCTCTGAATTCCTACTTTTCACCTAGAATTTACAAAATTACAAACATCTGTCCATCACTCCTCATAATTCTTTTTAAGATGAATTTTAAAGCAGAAGTTTTATGTTTTTAGTGAGAAACACTCATTTGTTTGAGCTGGAAGGGAGTATAGCCCCTTATTTTACAAGGAAGGAAACAGAGTTAGTTGGAGACTTAATAACAGCTTTAAAATTCCCCGCCTGGTCCCCTTACCAACGCTTCTGAAGGCAGTTTAAAAAAAAAAGTGTATTTTTTTCTCTTTTTCATGGCACTGGAGTTTGAACTCAGGGCCTTGCACATGCTAGGCACTCACTTTACCCCTAGAGTCACTCCCAGCCCAAGAACAGGTATGTCCTTTAGCCTGTCACAGTAATATCACACAAAGTTTAGGTTACAAACACATGACCCTTCAATCACTTAAAATAATTATTTTTACCAGTAAAAAACAATTCATCATGCAGGCAACTTTTCTCTTGCTTGAGGCGAATAATCTCTTCTCGTTGTTCGTTGTTTTCTGTTGTCTTTTCATTTAGGTCCTCTTCATAAAAGAAGGAAAACAAGTCCTCAAATAAATACCACTTTCCTAAGAAAGCATATACTATGAACAACCTTTATGTCCTCAGCACCCCATTCCACTTACTCTGAAAATCCTGTGTATCTATAGCCAATGTACGGCTGTCCCTGGCAATGCTTCGCTACCTTTGGTCTGGCTAATCTCCCTGCCTCTCCTGTTACAGCCCAGGGAGACGCAGAGCAATCTTTAAAAATAAAAATTATTTGGCATTTCTCGGTAATAAGTCCTCCTAGGGCACTCAGGATGAGGTCAAAACTTATTACCATAAACTGCAAAACCCCAATGACCTGACCTGTCCCTCTTCCCACCACTTTTCCTTCTTTCCCTCTATTCCTGATCTCCTCTTAGGTAGTTTGGATTTTGTCTTCTGTTCCTGGCACAGAGCTTCTAAAATCCATAGAACTTCCCAAGTGACAGGCATGTCTTTTGTTGTGCAAAAGGAGTCCCTCTTATAATCCCAGCACCTGGGAGGCCGAGGCCATAGGACCTAAAGTTTGAGGATACACAGGAAGACAGGTCTCAAAAAACCAAAACAAGCTGGCTCACACCCATAATCCTTGCTCCTTGGGAGACTGAGATTCAAGGTTTGAGGACAGCCTGGGCAAATAGTTCATGAGACTCTATCTTCAAAATAACCAGAGCAAAATGGACTGGAGGTGTGGTTCAAGTGGTAGAGCACCTGCTTTGTAAGCTGGAAGTCCTGAGTTCAAACCTCAGTTCCACCAAAGAAAGAAACAAACAGAAACTCCCCCTTGACCACACCAGAATTTATACTAATCAGGTCAAGTGGTGCCCTAGATAGCCTTGGGACCAGATTGATCACCAACAAGTCCTAGCAAGCAGAGCCCTTGAACTTTCAGCCCTGCCAAATAACATCCAATGGGGAGGGGTATGTGTGTGCGGAGACTGAGCTCTATAAAAACTGCTGAACAGATCTTTGAGCGCATTTCACTAGGTGAACACTTCAAGGCATTTGGAGCACTGTGCACAGAAGCCATTTCATCCATCTGCAGTTCCTGAGTTGCATCCTTTATAATATCCAAAAAAGGAGTAGGCTTCCCTGAGTTTTGAGGCATTCTAGCAAATGATGAAACCTGAGGTGGTAGTTGTGAATTCCTAATTTATAGCCAGTTGGTCAGAAATAGGTTAGCCCCCTGGGATTTGTGATGATGTCTTACTTAAGTAGGGACAGTCTTGGAACTGAGCTTTTTAACTTGTGGATATGACAGTTATAGGTAGATAGTGTCAAATTGTACTGAATTTCTGGACATCCAGTTGGTATAAAAGAAATGGAGAATTTGTTGGGATTAGAGAAAAAACTCAGAATGCCCCCACTTTAAAACCCACCCTGTGGTCTCTGCATTTGCTGTTCCTTCTGCTTACAAGGTTCTTGGCCCAGGTTTTCATATGACTGGTTCGTCCCACCTCCAGTTACAGCTCAAATGTTAACATTTCCAATTCGTCTGCTCAGTCCATTGAGGCTAAATGAGTCCATCTCCCTCACTCTCTGTTGACTTCCCATTGCCCTGCTTTTCATATTTAGTAAATACCGGATTTATAAAATATTTATAATACATAATATTGACATAATAGACTTCTTTCTACTTGAGTATCTTACCTAGGCATATAAAAACATCCAATAAGCACGAAGTAGCCACAATGTATCTTTAGTGCTGAACTATTAACTGCTGATCCAAACAAAAGAGGCCCCATGACACAGGACTTATATGACCTTGGCTTTGGCTGAAGCTACAAATGGGGATATTTGTATGATATTTATCAGAGTGAAGGCAGCATAAGGTCAGCTTTTTAAAATCACATCAATTGAGATAAATTTTCATAATTTCAGAATGTTTTAGTTGAAAGCAATGTAAACGGTCACTTAGCTCAGGAGCAGGTAGGAATCCCCCCACATGGCTCCCTTGCTTGAGTACCTCCAGGAAGAGAAATTCACTGCCTCTCAAGGTTCTCTACCATGGATAGGGAATATGGTTTTTTCATTGCTCCTAAGGTGGCTTGCTCCACAGTGCAACCAGTCTTCTTGTCTAATGCCATGGCCATATATAAAATAGGGTATCATGGGAGAAGACTGCTTCCAGGCAACAATTCTGCTTTGCCCACTTTCCAGCCTGCAAGAGAAAATGGGTCTCCATACCCTCTGTAGATAAATTCTGACACTGTCACCAATATCCACATTCAAATACGTACTACATGTAGCAAATATACACCAAGGTATTCGGTATTCCTTGACTCCATTTCACTACGAAACTTAAAGAATTCGTCAGAAAGAAGTGAATCATGCAATAGTAAGAACAAAAATAGAGAAAAACCAGAAAGAATTTGCAAAAATAAAACATGCACCGAAAAAGTCACTGGAGACAATGTTGGTGGCCATTCTCTATTCCCTTGCTATGATTTTGCAACTACTCCCACAAACAGCAGAGTATTTCCCCACTGCTTGATTTGGGTTCAGCATGTGACTTGCTTCAGCCAACAGAAAGAAGCAGAAGTGACAGCATCTTGTGTCTTGGCCTAGACCTTAAGGTCCTCACATGTTTCTGCTTTTCTTTCCAGTTTCCGCCTTCACTATGGGAAGAAAGGCCCTGGCCAGCCCACTGGTGAGGAGATGAGGCCACACGAAGCAGGGCCGCCCTGATGAGACACTTTAGTTGGGTCCAATTGAGGCCGGCCGGCTCCCATGTGGACCAACTCCAGTTGCATGAATTTGATAAATGCTAGGACTCATGCTGCCGAGAACCCGCTGTTGTCTTCACACAGCACGTATAAGCAACAGGTAACTGGAATAGCCACCTAAACTAAAGCAAGACAGGTTGTTTTTGCTGTTGTTGTTGTTTTTAGTACTGGGGCTTGAACTCAGGGCCTACACCTTGAGCCACTCCACCAGCTTTTTTTTTTTGTGAAGGGTTTTTTCAAGGTAGGGTCTCACAAACTATTTGCCCAGGCTGGCTTTGAACCATGATCCTCCTAATCTCTACTTACCGAGTAGCTAGGATTACAGGAGTGAGCCACTGCTTTGTTTTTAAAATACCATGCACAATTAATATCCCAACTTTGTTATTAATCTTATAGTACAAAAATTGCACCATAATTTTATATAAATGAAACAGAGTTCATGCTAGGAACAGAGCTATTCTCACATATAAGAGTAAGTAAGCCCAAATGCAAAAATACATTCTTAAAATAATGTATTACCATCTTAAACTCACATCGCTTCCTTACCTTTTAGTTTGTTGACTTCAATCTTAAGTGCCTTCAATTTCTGCTTATAATCCTGCTTTTCTTTCACGATACAAGTCTCCACCATCTTAGCATCACGTAAAGCATGCTCTAACAATTTAAATTTACCCGAACAATCGGCAATGTGATTGACTGCCTCAATAATATCTTTGTCCTAAAACCAAGTTGAAAACTGTTATGCTAGATTTTTTAATTCCAGCTAATCAGTAAGAAAAGATGACACTTTTTAGATGGCGTTTGTAGCAGGGTTCTCTCTAAGCACTTCTCATGTTAACTCATTTCATCTTCACTGTAACACAATGAGGCAGGTACTGCTACTATCACTGAGTGACAGAGGAGTCAAAAGATACCAAAAGGTATCTCTACCTGCCCACGGCTACATAATTAGTCAGTCATAGAGCTGCCATTTGAACCTAGCTAGCGAGCCTCAGAAACCATGTGCTATATCTTGGAAGTTTAGAACCAGACAATTCAATAACTTTGGAAATTGGCATAGCAAGAGGAGGTTGGCAGCTCTTAGATAAAAAAATTATATGCATTACAGATAAATCCCATGGCCTAACATTTCCTCTCTCCTTTCAGCTTATTAGAATGACAGACTCCAAGATCTCATCCCAGTTCTAGCCAAATTAGAATCTTTTATTGTGGAGGCTATTTGAATTACAAAACGAAACATATCTGCTTCTTGAAAAGCCATTCCTACAATACCTAAAAGCTTAAAAGTAATGAGTTCTCACTCTCTCCCACTCACCTGAAATAACTATCATTAACAAGATTTACTCCTACTTAAACATAAGTGTTTCTACTGTAGTATCATGTAGGCATTCTGGAAAAACCTCACACCCTAGGAGGACTTATGGGGAGATAAAAGGGCTGGAGCAGTGCTGGGCAGGGTGGTTCACATCTGTAATCCCAGCTACTTGGCAGGCAGAGATCAGGAGGATCGAGTTTTGAGGCCAGCCCCGGTTAAAAAAAAAAGTTAGTGAGACCCCCACCTTAATAAACAAGCCAGGTACAGTGGTTCATAACCTGTAATTCCAGCCACACAGAGGCAGAAATTGGAGAACTGAAGTCTAAGGCCAGCCTGGGCAAAAAGCACAGGGCCCTATCTGAAAAGTAACTAATGCAAAAAGTGATGGTGGCATGGCTCAGTAGTAGAGTGCCTGCCTGATAGTATGAGGCCCTGACTTCACAGTTCATTACTGTTAGTAAAAAAAAAAAATGCTGGGTAGACTACTTTAAAACCACTGGAAAGATGGGGGGGTGCAGCTCAGTGGTAGAGCACTTGCCTCATGTGCAGAAGGACTTGGGTTTTCAACTCCTACCACAACAAGCTGAACAAACAAAAAGAACAATGAAATTTTGTGACCAGGCCAGTTTAAAAAACTTTTGGTCCTAATGTTAAGTCAGTATCAGTAGAGACACAACCTTCACTCAATCCCTTTAAGCAGCCTTAAACCCAGGGCTCCTGCTTCCTCCTTTGATAAGTATGTCCTAGAGGGCAGTTGCTTCTAATAAAGACCATTTTCTTCAAAGTAAAATGCTAATTCTGGGTGTGCTGCTTCGTCAAGAATGCCCTGCTCTACAGTGGGGAATGTCCTTGCAGCACCTGCATTAGTACTCAAGGCTCTGTCTGAGATTGCTGTGACAGACACCATATAGGCCTCTATGAAAAGCTAACTCTGTGGATTTTAACATTTCCTCTTTAATTTTAAGGAAGCTTGCCCAAGATCATGTCAAAACACTAATGTGCCAGGAAAAATTACAAATGAATTAGCATGAATGTCCCATTAAACTGACATCATTCCTTTATTTACCAACTGTCAAAGATATGTGTTACAGTAGAAGAGATAGTGTATCATTGCATGTTGTACACTAGTGACTATCTAGTTATTGCTACCAGTTTTTCTTTTCACTTAAAAAAGCAATCTGATTGTCAATAACTCCAAAAGACCTAGCAAAATATACCTGGGAAGAACTCAGGCCTGCCAGGATATGGAATGGGCCTTGGAGACAGAAATCCATCCAGAAGTTGAGTCTTGCCTCCTATCCCAAACCTTTGGGAATATCGTTTTAAACTTGCTTCTCTCCCTCCTAAAAGGAGAATTTAAAAAGAAACTTTGGCAGCCTGCATTTCTGGGCTGCTAAGGGGCTCAGGTGAGACGATGCACGTGAGTATACTTCGTAAGCTCCCAAGGACTCTGGCAATGGAGTATAACTAGTTAATTACCTTTAGCTTTATCATTGTAGTGAGAGCCTGTTCTCTAGCTTGTAATTGTCCTACTTGAGCAGAAAGTTCCACTAATGTGTTGCTGAGACTTTCATTTCTAGCCTACAAGGGAACAACACAGAAAATACTAATTGAGTCCTTTTAATGTTTTCATTACTGTCACTAGCTCATATTTCTATTTTGTTTTCTCTTTGTTTACTTAATGTTTTTAAGGAACGAAGTGGGCTAACTAAGCAATCATGAAAAAGAAATGAAAAAAGAAATACAAATATTATTTCTCTATTAACTCCAGCATTCTCTCAATACTTGCACTTGCCATACTGAACTGAATTACACTGGCTGTTTGTAAACATGTCTAGTTCCTACTTTTATGAATAATTTTAGCTTGGGAAGAAAGAATAAAATGAATAAATGAGAACTGTATACATAAGAGATTTCCTTCTGCTAGAAGCAGTAGCCTTAGTGAATTTTATACAACTTTTGTAAACTCTGTGCCAGGGTATATATATATATACCATTATACATTTGTCAAGACCTCACAAAGTGTAAAACACAGTGAACCTGTATATCTGTGGACTCTGAGTGATAATGATGCATCTGTGTGAACTCATCAATTAAAACAAATGTGCCGGTCAGGTATGAGTGGCTCGTGCCTGTAATCCTAGCTCCTTGAATAGCTAAGATTGGGAGAATAGAAGTTTGAAGTCAGCCCAGGCAAATAGTTCAAGAGACCCCATCTTCAAAACTCCCAGAGCAAAATGGACTGGAGGAGTGGTTCAAGTGGTAGAGCACCTGCCTAGCAAGTACGAAGCCCTGAGTTCAAACCCCAGTCCCACAACAATCCCAAAACAACTCCACCAGTGCTGGGCACCAGTGGCTCACACCTGTAATCCTAACTACTTGGGAGGTTCAGATCATGAGGATCACAGTTCTAGGCCAGCCTGGGCCAAAGAAATTTGTGAGACTCCACGTCTATAGGAAAAAGTTAAGCGTGGTGGTGCGTGCCTGTCATCTAGCTATGACATGAAGAATAAAATAGGATTGAAGTCCAGGCTGGTTTGGCAAAAAGCAAGACAGTACCTCCAAAATAACCACGGCAAAAGAGACTAGAGGCATAGCTCAAGTGGTAAAGTGCCTGCCTAGCCAGTATGAATCCCTGAGTTCAAATCCCAGTACCCCCCAAAAAAAAACCCAAATGTACCACCAGACCAGGCACTGGTGGCTCACACCTATAACCCTAACTACTTGAGAGGCAGAGATTAGGATTGTGGTTCAAGGTCAGCCCAGGAAAACAGCTGAGACCTCATCTCAAAAATACTCAACACATACACACACACACATACATACACACACCAAAAAAAAAACTACGGGGGGCCAGCAAAGTGGCTCAAGTGGTAGAGTACCTGCCTAGAAAGTATGAAGCCCTGAGTTCAAACCCAAACCCCAGTACCAAAAGAAAAAAAAAAGTACAACCAAGATGCAGGACATCAGCAGCGAGGGAGGCTGAGTATGTGGACACAGGATATATATGGGAACTCTCTACACTTTCCACTCAATTTTGCTGTGAACCTACAACTAATTTTAAAATAAGATTTATAATTTAAAGAGGAATCTTCCATTTTTTATCCAACATTTCTACGTATTCTAAGCAATTTTTTTTACTTACTTTATAGCTAGAAACCATCTAGAATAGCACTCTAAAATGCACAAAACATGCTGGCCATGAGGACACATGACTGCAATCCCAGCACTTGAGAGGCTGAGGAAGGAGGATCCAGAATTCAAGGATGGCCTGGGCTATACAGTGAGTTCAAGGCAAGCCTGTGCTACACAGTGTAAGACCCTGCCACAAAAAACTAAAACCAAAAATAAATAAACTCTGTCCTCTTACTGTGAATTAGTGAGACTCTCATTATCAAGACCTATTATGCATATCATTATGAAATAACAATATGAAGAATATAACCAAAAAACTGGCTTTTTCTTTGTTCCTTACAATAAATGAGCTTAAAAATTATCTGATGACTGACCAGTTAGAATAGAAAACTAGTGCACACCTAAAATTCCAGCAGTTGGGAGGGGAGGCAGGAGGATCACATATTCAAGAGCACCTGAGCAACCTGAGACCCTGCCTCAAAATAAAAAAGGGCTAGGTTACAAGCTCAGTGGTAGAGCATCTGCCCAGCATGCACTAGGTCCTGGAAGGAGAAAGGAAGACAAGAAGGAAGGGAAGAAAGGAAGGAAGGAGGGAGGGAAGGAGGGAGGAAGTCAGAATTCAGAAAGCAGCATTTAAAACTAGAACTTGACAGTATTCATTTCAGACTCTCAGAATAAACCATTGTTGATAAAATGGACAATGCTACTAAACCAAATGGCAAAACAAAAAAAGGTCTGTAATGAAGCTTTATGTGTAAGATAGAACAGTGCTATGCAGTTAACCAAAACAGTGGGTGGGATGCACAAGTAGGATGGGTGAATGGATGGATGGAGACACATGTATGTATGTGTGTTTATATGTACACACACATACATACATATATACACATGCATTCATACACATACATGAATTTTTTTTTTTGTAGCACTGGAGTTTGAACTCAGGAACTCATGCTTGCTAGGCAGGCACTCTACCACTTGAGCCACTCCACCAGCCTGTTTTGGGTTGGGTATTTTTCGAGATAGGGTCTTGAGAACTATTTGCCTGGGCTGACTTTGAACCGTGATCCTCCTAATCTCTGCTTCCTGAGTAGTTAGGATTACAGGCGTGAGCCACCAGCAACCAGCTTTCCCTTGCTCTGAACCTAAAGAGCTAAATTGTACCTAACCAAACCCAGCTCACACTTTTCTCCTCTTCTAAGCTCCAGTCACAGGTCTCTCCTTTCCATACATGGACTTTTAATGCTGACATTTAAATCTAATTTTTCAATAATTGAAAAAAAAGAATTTGGACTAGAGAGGCTTATCAAAAACAAAAACCATGCCTGGGCACAGTGGTGCATGCCTGCAATCCCAGTGCTCGGGAAGCAGAGGCAGAAGGACAGGAGGATCTTGTTTGAGGCCAGCATGGACTACAAAGAAAGACCCGTCTCAAAAATATAAATGCATAATCAAACAAATCAATCACTCTATCAATAACTAACCTCAAGGTCTTCAGAGAGGAGGGAAGAATGTGTTGCTTTTTGAACCATCTCCTGAAGCTGTAGCTGAGTCTTTCGAAGAGCTGTTTGACATTCGATTTGATTGGATTCAAGGACTTTCACCTTCTTCATGAGTGACTTGATTATTTCAGTTCTTTTTTGTAGCTCACCTGAAGGAATTTTCATCAATAACTTATTTGTGGTTAGATCCAAAACTTAAAATGTAGTATTTTCAAAATCTGTGGTTAAGAGCAAACATCTGCTAAAGAATTTTTTAGAGGACAATTCTTTTAAAACATTTTATTGTGAAATCCACAATACTCATCAGGTGCTGGTGGTTCACGCCTGTAATCTTAGCTACTCAGGCGACAGAGATCAGGAGGATCCCAGTTCAAAGCCAGCCCAGGCAAATAGTTCACCAGAACTATCTTGAAAAAACCCAAAACAAAAAAAGGCCTGGTGGAGTAGCTCAAGTGGTAACAGCACCTGCCTGGCAAGGGTGAGTCCCTGAGTCCAAACTACAGTGCCACCAAAAAAAGAAATGCACAATACTATACTTAATCAAGAAGAAGAACATGTGGGTTGGGGTGCAATAGCTTATGCTGTAATCCAGTTATGCAGGAGGCAGAGATGGGAGGATCATGGTTTGAGGCCAGCTGAGCCAAAAAAGTTAGTGAGACTCCATCTCAAAAAACAAGCCAGAGCTAAGCACCGGTGGCTCATGCCTATAATTCTAGCTACTTAGGAGGCTGAGATAGGAAGGATTGAGGTTTGAGGCTAGACCAGGTAAACAATTAGTGACACCTCATTTCCAAAATAACCCAAGCAAAATGGACTGGAGGTATGGCTCAAGTGGTAGAGTGCCTGCTTCACACCAAAAAGAAAAAAACAAAAGAAAAAAAAAGTCAAGTGTGGTGGATCACTTCTGTAATTCCAGCAACTCCGGAGGGGGGAAATATGAGGATCACAGTCTGAGGCCAGCCATGGGCAAACATGAAAGATCCCGTATGAAAAATACCTAAAGCAAAAAGGGTGGGGCTGGGAGTATAACTAAAGTGGTAGAGCACATGTCTAGCAAGCATAAGGCCCTAAATTCAAATCCCAATTCTGCCAAAGTTTAAAAAAATAAAAGAGAATGCTGACAGCAACTCAGAAGCCCCTTGGATGTCACATCTTAAAGACAATCTCTCCAATTTCCACCTTCCTGGCCACTCCACCATTATCTTAATCATTTCCTTGGTTTTTGTTTTGTTTTTTAATTTTTGGTTTCTTGGCAGTACTGGGGTAGAACCCAGGGCCTGAGTTCCATCTAAGCATACTCTACCACTGAGCTATAACCCCAGTCTAGAATCAACCTTTCAATAAGATCCTTAAGCAATTCACATGTACATTAAAGAGGGGGTAAGTTCCTAGAAGAGGAGTGCTTGAAACATTGCTGGAACATGTTCTAACTACAGGTATATTTCTTTTTTGGAGACAGGGTCTCACTATGTAGCCCAGGCTAGCCTTGAACTTGTGAACCTCCTGCCTTCACCTCCAGGGTGCTGGGATCTTAGGCAGGTACTACCATGCTTAGTGTTGGAATATTTCTTTGTTTTGTTTGGTTTTTTGTTTGTTTGTTTGCACTGGGGTTTGAACTCAGGGCCTCATGCTTGCTAGGCAAGTGCTCTTTCCACTTGAGTCACTCTGCCAGCCCCTTTTTTTTTTAACTGGGGTTTGAACTCAGGGCTTTGTGCTTGGAAGGCAGGATTCTACCACTTGATCTATGCCCCCAAACCCAGAATATTTCTTATAGGATATGTATATTTTCACCTTTACTAGACATTATGAAACAATTTCCCAAAACAGTTGTGACTCTGTATCTTCCCAAATAACTACTAATTAGGTCCGACCCCTCTCAGCTTTCAAGACCAGATGGGGCTTTACAGGGCAGGGTGGCTATAGACATGGCTCCACATCTTTATCAACACCTGATAATTATTGTCAGTCTGCTAAGTTTAAAGTGGCATCTCATTGTGATTTTTATTTGTATCTCCCTAATTACTAATGAGAATGAGAACCTTGTAGTACATTTATTGGTTACTCAATTTTCCTTTTTCGATGAAGTGCCTATTTAAGGTTTTCTGTGTGTATGATACTAGGGATCCAACTCAGGGTTTCATGTTCCACCACTAAGCTGCATCCCCATCCCACATCTTGCTCATTTTAAAACCAGATCCTGCTGTGCGCCGATGGCTCACACCCATAATCCTAGCTACTCAGGAGGCAGAGATCAGGAGGATCGTGGTACAAAGTCAACCCTGAGCAAACAGTTCTCAAGACCCTACCCCCAAAAAAACCCATCACCAAAAGGGCTAGCAGAGTGGCTCAAGTGGTAAGAGCACCTGCCTTGCAAGTGTAGGCCATGAATTCAAACCGCAGTGCCGCAAAAAAATTAAAAAAATAAAATAAATAAAATCAGATCCTGATGGCTATATGTAATCTTTGTTATATAGGCTATCCTTGTTCTTCAACATGTTTATATAAAATATTATGCTACATTTAATGAGCGATCTTTTTTCTTTCTTGTATTTTTTCCACATTTATTTATTTATTATAATTTTCAAGGATGGTAATGGGGACTGAACTCAAGGCCTCATGCTTGGCACTTGACTCATTGAGCCATGCTCTCAGTTCTTTTGCTTTTAGCTTATTTTTCAGATAAGTTCTCATGTTTTTGTCCTGGCTGGCCTCAGATTACAATCCTCCTAACTCCGCATGCTAAGTAGCTGCTGGTTATTTTTTTATTTTTTTGAGTAATCATTTTAATCACTGTATGTGTGTATGTACATCTGTGGGTGTGGTCAGACTAAAGTCAGATGATCATCAAATAAATAGAAAAATGAAAAGTATTTAGATCATGTTTACCGAAACCACTGTATGACAGAAATAAAAAAGAAGGCTATTTATTAAACATATATTCCCTAGCTAATATATGCTAGTAATAATCTACCATCAATGGAACACTGAGATTGAAATTAAAAATTGGTACAAAGCCTGGCACAGGGCTCACACCTGTAATCCTAGCTACCAGGGAGGTGGAGATCAGGAGGATCATGGTTCAAGGCCAGCCTGGGCAAAAAGTTCGCAAGACCCCATTTCAACCAATAAAAAGTGGGGCATAGTAATGCACGCCTGTCATCCATCTATGTGGGAATCAGAGGATCACAGTTCAGGCCATAAACACAAAACCCTATCTCAAAAATAACCAAAGCAAGCCAGGTGAGTGGCTCAAGCTTGTAATCCTGGCTACTCAGGATGCTGAGATTGGGATTGCAATTTGAGGCAAACAGTTTATGAGATCCCCCATCTTAACAAAAAAAGCTGAGCATGGTGGTACACTCTATGTCAGGAAGTGTGAAACAGGACAACTGCAGTCCAGATTAACCAGGTAAAAAGCAAGACCCTATCTCCAGACCAGAGCAAAAAGGGCTGGTAGTGTGGTGTAAGTGATTAAGTGCCTACCTAGCAAGCACAAAGTCCTGAGTTCAAACAGTACTACCACAAAAAAAAACAAAGCAAAAAGGGTGGGTGATACAGCACTTGCCTAGCAGGTGCAAGGACCTGTGTTCTAACACCAGTACCACAAAAACAAAACAAAACAAAACACATACACACACACACATATATATATATATATATATATATATACACACATATATATGTATGTGTGTATATACATATATATGTATGCACATATATACATGTATATGGCACAAAAGAAAATTTTTATAAGCTATTTTTGAGAATGCTATAATTTTCAAATATGATCATTTTTGGTACTTAAAAACAAATTCAATACCAAAAGTTTAAAATCTTTACATCAGTTCAAGAGAAATGGTGAGTCACTTGGCATCTTTATTTATATTCTTGCTCAAAACTTCTTTAGATTCACCCTTGATGCTCTTGGTTTTTTATTTTTTTGTTTTTGTGTGACCTAGGGCCTCACACATGCAAGACAAGTACTCTCCATTGAGCTACATCACCAGCCTTCACCAATGTTAATTGCAGCTCTACTGAGCATCTTTCCTATCGCTTCTCGGCCTTTTGGCTAAGATCAAGTGTAGTATCTGAGCATCTTTCCTACACTTAAGTACTTTGTCCTACTTTATCTGAGTCAATTTGTAAATGTGGCTATTAGTAAAGTCATCAATCCTATCTTCAATGAGACTAAACCCCAGGACAGCAGGTCCCCTCGAGCTCTTTCGACATGCTGCCACACAGAAGTGCACAACAGATGTTGCTGGATGTATCTCTGACCTTCTAATTTGCTGCAACGTTCCTCCAGAGTCAACACTTTCTGCCGATCTTCTTCCCATGAAAGAAGTTGTCTTTGATGCACTGCGACCATATCATTGAGCTCTTTATCGCGATCTTTCAGTTCTCCAATGAGCAGATGCAGTTCCTTCCGTTGTTTCTCAATAGTGGAATTCTCAACTTCTGACTCGATGTTCTAAACATGGAAAGTGGTTTACATCAAAATAAAACTGAGTCACATAAATCAGCCAAAGTTTATTTTCTAAATAATTGTATTTTTTTGCTGGCAATTCTAATAGACCAGCAAACAGTGAATTAAGTCTTATTCACTGTTAAGAATAATCCCTCAAATTATACACGTTTAAAACAAGTTCAAACCTACCATAAGTCTGCCTCTCTCATTTTCTGTCACATCACACACAATTCTTCAAAAAATGGGACTGATTCCAAAACCTCCCCTGGCTAACCACAAAGAAACATGTTTCTGCCTTATCTCCCTCTTTGGTGTTAACCTTCCTGTCCCAATCAACAATGTTATCCCCCACCTTGCCCCAGCAATTTTTTTTTTTTTTTTTAATGAGTATGAAATCCAGGGACTTGTGTATGCTAAGCACATGTTCTACCACTGAGCTACAGCCCCATCCCCTACCCCAGCAATTTTGGAGTAACCAAATAAAAAGTAAATGTGAAATAATCAGTTTAAATATAAATAATGTAAATAATTCTTATCAAATAATAGGAATTTTAGTCTATAAGAAAGGAACTAAAGCCTAAATATTCACACCTATATACAAGCTACCAAGGACAATTTAATATTATTCGTGGTTCTTTGGGCTGGGGTTGTGGCTCACATAGTAGAGTGCCTACCTAGCAAGCCAAGGCCCTAAGTTCAAACTCCAGCACCGCATCCCCCTCAAAAATACATAGATATGCAAAATATATATGTATGTATGATATGTATATAGTTAGTGGTCCATACTCAACATATCTAATTAAAAACAAATTCTGTAAGGAAAAATTTCACATATACACAAAAGAGAACAGTGTCATAAATTATCATATACCCAGTACCTAGGTTCCACCATCACCAAGATTTTGTTATATTTGCTTCAATTTTCTTTTCTTTTTTTTTTTTTTTATTACTGACAAAAATACACCATTTCCCCTTACATTATTCCATATGCATCTCTCTCTCTTTTTTTTTTTGCAGTACTGGGGCTTGAACTCAGGGCCTTTACCTTGAGCCACTCCACCAGCCCTTTTTTGTGAAGGGTTTTTCGAGATAGGGTCTTGCAGAACTATTTGCCCAGGCTGGCTTTGAACCTCAATCCTTCTGATCTCTGTCTCCTGAGTAGCTAGGATTACAGGTATGAGCCACCGGTGCCTGGCCATATGCAGCTCTTAAAATAAACATTTCTTATATAACCATGATCCATTTTCCTACTTAACAATATTATATACAATAGTGAGCACACACGTTCTAAAGTCTAGCACATTGAAGTTGGTCTTATCAGTGTGTGAATCCAGAGTTATAGCCACTTGTTGGTGGCTCCATATAATCTTGGACAAGTTATATAACTTCTCTAAACCTCAGTTTCCTCCTCTGTAAAACAACAGTAATTTAACCTTTTTTTTTTTTTTTCAGTACTGGTGTTTGAACTCAGGGCCTACACCTTGAGCCACTCCACCAGTCCTTTTCTGCTATGGGTTTTTTATGATAGGGTCTCATAACGTATTTGCCTGGGCTGGCTTTGAACCTTGATCCTCCTGATCTCTGCTCCTGCGTGGCTAGGATTATAGCCATGAGCCACTGGCTCCCGGTTCTTCAACCTCTTAAAGTTGTGTGGATTAAGCAAGATTTAGCAACCTGCCTGGCATGCAGTCAGCAAACTTTAGTTATTATTGAGGCTGTAAACCACATGTTGAACTACAGTACCGTTTGTGTCTATGAAGTGTTACTTTAAAAGTTGTCTTAATGCAGTACTTAAAGAGTTTACCACAGACCCATGTACACCATTACTGCTTCTTAAAAAAACAAGACTTATAAACAAATAATGATGATGAATTAGACTTACTTACTAGTAACCAAACACAGAAAATGGAATTTGGAGTCAAAGGATTCCAAGTCACAAGACTTGAGTCCCAGTCTTTGGTTAGTCATGCATTCATTCAACAAATATTTACTGAGTGCCTGTGGCTGGAGACACAGCAATGAGGCCACCAGCCAGAGAAGCATATATTACAGAGCAGGAAAAAGATTAGTCAAGTATACAAAAGGCGTTCATGTCACCCTACACTGCTAAGGCAAACCTGGGGTGGGTTCACTTCCAAAATTGTTAAAATGGAGTCATAATAAAAATGCCTCTGTAGCCGGCGCTGGTGGCTCGCACGTGTGTAATCTTAGCTACTTGGGAGGATGAGATGAGGAGGATCAGAGTTCGAGGCTAGCCTGGGCAAATGGCTCCCATCTCCAAAACAACCAGAGCAAAACGGACTGGAGGTGTGGCTCAGGCGGTAGAGCGCCTGCTTTGCAAGTGCAAAGCCCTGCGTTCAAATTCCAGTCCCACCCAAAAGAAAAAGGTCGTCCCTGCACTCGCCAGGTAGGGACATCAAGCGGGGTACTTATAGAGGCGCAGCTATGGGAGTCACTGTCATCGTTAAATAGGGAGCCCCCGGCCCTGGCGGCTGGTCTTTGGGTCCGGGCTGAGTTCCGTTTTTACTAGGCTAAGGGCCCGGGCGCGACGCCACCCGCAGGCCCCGCTTTGGCCGGCATGCACGCCTCCTCCAGCCGTCCGCCCGCTGCTCGCACCCCGAGCGCCGCTCACCTGGCGCCCGGCGAGGAAGATCGCCGGAGGGTTCATAGGTGTGGTCGGTGCGGCAGCGTCACCTTAGAAACGCCATAGGCGCGCCTGGCCGGAGAGGCGGGGGCGAGCCCGGAGCCCCGGACCCCGCGCCGTCGCCGGCCCTCGCGAGCCCGCCCAAACCGCCAACCCCGCGCCCTCGCGCCGACGCCGTCGCGCTTGGTGGTGGCGGGCGGGGGGGGAGGGGGAAGGCGAGGAGAGGGGAAAAGGGGCGGGGCGCCGCACCGGGTCTCGCGACACTTGGGGCTACGCGCGCGATCTCCGCGCGCCTTGCAGGTGGAGCTGTGCGAGACTGCGGGATCCCGGCTGGCTGGCTTCCCGTTACCCAGCTCTGTAGGGCCGCGTCGGCGGACTTGGTTTAATGAGCTGCTCCTTCTCCATCCGCCCCTACTAAACTTGGCACTCAGTAAGAGTGCAGGCAGACGCCGAGTCCTGGTCACCCTAGCAGGCTGGTCTAAACCAAGAATCGCACAAGAGGGAAAAAACTATGCATACAAAATACGTATTTGCACTTGAATCCCTGGCACTTTAGAGGCTGAGGTCGGAGGATCGAGAGTTGAAGCCAGCTTGGGGTACATATATAAACTCTTTCTTAAAAAAACGTAAGTCTACAGAATTTACCATGTTCTAGCTTTTCAATCTAAACTTTTCCACGTGGTTCTGCAGTCACAAATTGCATTACCGGCAGGACAATGCCCAATACGAAATACTTCTTTATTTTTTGGTTGAATGTGAATTAGCAAAACCTGTCAACGTGTTCATGAAACAATCTGGAAATGGAAAAACATGACTTCTTGCGTTGACGCTTTCTCAATTTAGGTGACACCTATCTCCTTAGGTTAGAAGCACTCACAAGATGATGTGTCAATTGGGTATATTCCTGGAAGGAAGACCACCACTTACAGCATCTTCACGCCCAGGAGCGCTCCTCTTTCCATTTCTCCCTACTTTGTCCTGCTCTGCTCAATAAATCTTTGCTGGCCTTCCAGTAAGTAAAGAGGTAAATACAGCCTAGGAGTAAGTGTGGTGGAGAAACAAAGAGGACGGTGGGCTCAATCTTCAGTTTTTGAATTGAAGAGTATTCATGTGCTTTAAGACGTCACCATTTTAGGATTGGGGATTTTTCAAGGATGCCCCAAAGTGCCACTGTCCACTAGGCAACCATGTCCCCAACACTCACTGACTCACTGTAAAATGTATACTGATAGAAGAAAGACATGGGGCTCATCTTATGATTATGCTTGAAGGTGGTAAAGGGAGTATGAGTGACAAGGTGCAAATCAAAAATCTCAAAATCTTAGATTTACCACCACAGGTTTTCTTTAAAACAAAAAATACAATAACATACAAAAAAGAGAAGCTACTGCTTTTCAAATGACACGAAAATGAAAGCCTCAAGAATTACAATGCAGCTAATTTTACAGTCTAACACAAACTGAAATCCTGAATGGACTCACTAGGGTCTCTACCCTAATGATTTCCTAAGTAAAGGAACTTAGTAAGCACCTAAAACTTCAAATGGATCTTTAAATTAGTGATTTATGAACTTTTTCTTTTTGGTGGGATTGGGATTTGACCTCAGGGATTCGTGCTTGCAAAGCAGGCACTCTACCACTTGAACCATACCTCCAGTGTAATTTGTAACATTTAAAGTGAGAAAGCTACAAAGATCCTGTCTTAAGCAAGTTGATTACTGGAAACTTTTATGTAATAACTAATTTTTAAAAATCAGATTCAGCATCAATTTTTAAAAAATAAAACAGCCATGTGTGGTGGAAACTATCTGTAATCCCAGCAGGCTGAGGCAAGGGGATGGAACAATTCAGAGCCAACCTGAGCTACATAAGACCCTGTCTAAAAAACCAAAACAGCAGGGCATCAGTGGCTCATGCCTGTAATCCTAGCTACTTAGGAGGCACAGATCACGAGGATCACGGTTCAAAGCCAGCTAGGGCAAACAGTTCAAGAAACCCTATCTCAAAAATACCCATCACAAAAAGGGCTGGTAGAGTGGTTCCAGGTGAAGGCCCTGAGTTCAAACCTCATTATCACAAAAAAAAAATTGTATTTTTGCATTTGAAGTTGCCAGCTTAATCATGGCAAATCTCTTACACATGAGAGATAAGGCTGCTTAAAGGTTCATACTCTTTTTTTTCCTAAAAACACTAGATTGTGAGAATGTGAATTAAAGTCAATCTTTGAACTGTGGAAATTTTAATCAGATTAAATTATATAACATATTACATTTCAAGTCAAAGAAAAGCTCAGATGTTATCCACAAGGACAATTTTAATCTTGCATTTTCCCACAGTAACATCCACTGCTGGCCCTATATGGATTGAAGGTGCATTTGCAAAGAACTGTGAACATTAAAACTCTTTACAGGAACTTGCATGTACAGATACAGGCACACGGGATCTTCCAGCACCAACAGAATATGATCAAAATACACACCAAATGGTCTTGATGGATAAATTTGCTTTACTAGGTAATGCTACTGAGTAAAATTCAGTCAATGAGGAATTTTATTTTTAAATTTACATCTTTATTACACATCTAAGACACCATTTTTTAAAAACACCTTTCATTCAAGACTGTATTTGCATGGCAATAAACAATGATTTCACGGGTTCTAAGGCTTCCCCCCGCCCCAATTCCTTCCTCTCTCCTTTCCCATGCCTCCTAAGTTGCTTAAAGGTGTCTATATCAATTTTTTTTTTTTTTTGGAGGTATGGAGTTTGAACTCAGGGCTTGCTTGCTAGGCAGGCGCTCTACCACATGAACCAGTCTGCAAGCCAGTCTAAAGCAATTTTTAACACTACAAATCTTTTCAATCTGCAGTACCTGACTTAAAGCAAAGTTTAAATTGACCTAATTGATTCATTTCTCCCTTATGAGGAAGATGTTTCAATTGTTATTTCCTAGATGACATGTTGAGCATGGATTCACATTTTAAACTGGTTAGCAAAATTTTACTCACAGAATGTACAGCCAAAACAAGAACTCCCAGGCTCCCTGAATGGCTTTTCACTCACAGCAATGATAATGAGCATCTTAAACAGATTTGGGGGTCGCCCCCCTTTAACATCACCAAACACGTCTCTAAGTGTTCTTGGAAAAAGGTAAGCTTTACACATATGTATAATATTTTAGGACGCAATGTACTATCACTTCTTGAACCATTTCCCCACTGTTCATTTGTATCACTCACAATTTTTGGTATTATGGATAACATTGTAACAAACACCATCATCCATAAATTTTATGCAAGATTGATCATTACTTTAGGACAGTGTCTAAGAAGTGGCTTACCGGGTCAAACAGTACACATGGTTTTAAGGCTTTTAATGTACTTTACACTAAATAATCTCTGTAATAGCTTGAACAAATCCTACCAACACTGTTGGTAGACCACAAAGTGGACTTTGTTGGTAATAAAGAAGCAAATTCAACCATAAAATCTATTAGATTTATCACCCATCTTGAAACTATCACACCAACAAGGCATATTACTGGTAAGAAAGCTGAATTCAAACTTTTCTTAAAATTCACTCAGCTTTCGATCAGTAAGATAACCAGCAGAAATGCTTCCCACAAAAAAATCAAAAAGTGTTGTGACTTGGAGTGTTATCTCAGTGATGGAGCTCTTGCCTGATATGCACAAGGCCCGGGGTTCAATCCCCAGCACTGAGGAAAAAAGTCTATAGAGTTTTTCCAAAATAAAAAGTTAAAAAGAGAAAAAGTCAGTACCAAATGACCAAAAATTTTTATTTGACTAAATTCTGGTCCATGCATTAGCATGACGGTCTCCTTGTTTTACTAGACTTTGGCAATAAAAAACCAAGCAGCCTTGTACAGACAGTGAAAATGCCAAGGATGAGAGGAGTCTACAGGTTTACTGTAGGATAAATATATATCTCTAAAAGGCCCCTCTTCCTTTGGACATATCAACTCTCAGTTCAGATCATTAAAATACAAGTTTTCACTTCTTTACTTCTCCAAGGTCTTCAATGCTGTCGTCATCCACCTATAAGACACAAATAATTACAACTCATGAATCCAGTAAGAAAAAAGGAAGCAACTTGCTTCTTTGGGCACATGTGTCCCATGCACTTACCTCAGGCCATTTTTCCTGAATGACCTCAATGATGTCATCCGTAAAGTCCCCCTGAATGATGATTTCATCCTCTCCTGTTACTGAGGCACCACAGGAGAATTTCTGAGCAAAAAATCTTTGTGCTTCTTTAAGATCGATTTCTGTTTGTTTGTTTTTTAAAAAAGAAATGGCAAGACTATAATTGGAATTGTGCATCAATGATATATTTTCATTTTGAAATTTAATTTGCATTTTGAATTCAAAAAACAGACGGTGCTAACAGATTTCATACTGCTTTCAGAACAATAATTAAACCTGCCATAGGCGGAGCTCTTAATTCAGCATACATTTTCCAGGTCAAATAAAGGCTCAGTGCACAAGGGTAGCACCATTCACACCAGCTCTAGCACACAGAAAGACCAATGTACCACAGACTCAGCATGGAAGCTCATGGCTGTAATCCTGGCTACCTGGGAGACAGAAATAGGGAGGATCCTGGTACAAGGCCACATTGAGCAAAAAAAGTTCAAGAGACCCACTTTTCAACTAACAAAAGCTGGGTGATGCACCTGTCATCTTAGCTACATGTAAGCATTAATAGGATAAAAGCATAAATAGGATAGCATAGCTGGGTGCTGGTGGCTCATGCCTGTAATCCCAGCTACTTGGGAGGCTGAGATCAAGAGGACCGAGGTTCAAGGCCAGCCCGGGAAAATAGTGGAGAGACCCAAGCTCCAAAATAACCATAGTGAAATGGTCTGGGAGTGTCGCTTAGGTGGTAGAGCAGTTGCTTTGCAAATGTAAAGCCCTGAATTTAACCCCAGTCCCACCAAAAAAAAAAAAAAAAAAAGAGGGACAGCGGTCCAGGCCAGCCCAAGCATAAACACAAGACCCTAGCTCAAAAATAAAAGCAAAAATTTCTGGGGGCGTGGGTCAAGTGGTAGAACACCTGCCTAGCAAATGAAAATGAGAGGCCCCGAGTTCAAGTCCCAGTACCACTAAAACATACCCAAGCAGAATTCCTAACAGCCAGGAATGGTGGCCTATATCTATAATCCTAGTTACTCGGGAGCTACAGCAGGAGGATCAAGAGTTGGAGGCCAGCCTGGGTAACACAGCAATATTACGTCTCAAAAACAAATTAAAAAAACAAGCAGGAATCCCAGAAAAGTTACACTAGTATCTTCTACAGAAGAATCTTAATTTCTCCAAAATGTGATTCTGAAACTATTAGAAATACAAACCTCATCTAGTATCTTTTCAGCAAAAATCAGCCTGTGGGGGCTGGTGATGTGAGGTTGGGTATGTAGAGTACACAAGGCCCTAGGTTCAATCCCTCACACCAGGAGGTGATACTACATGACACCAGATAAACAAAGAGCAAGAAAAGAAAATATGGCTCATACAGTGTAAACCTACATAATTCTTGCATTGCAAAACAAGCAAACTTTAGCCTGAACTCACCAAAAGTTGCAAGGCCACACACTCTTGTCACATACTTCTTCTTTGCTCTGGGGATTTTGGCTATAGTAACCTTTTGTGGTACGGTCTTCTTTTTCTGTTTTATCTGACCCCTTCCACCTTTATTTATTAAGAAATAGCTTATATTAATTGTCTTATTTTTAACATCATTACAAAATACTGTCTTTCAATTTGTTCATTTTTAGAAGACTTAAGCTCCTTTTCTCTAATACAAAATCACATGCTGAATTCACCCACTGAATAAACATTTATTAAGTGTCTACCATATGCCCAACCCTGCTCTTAGGACTGAGGACACACAGATGAACATAGTCCCTGTCCTCCAGGGAGACAAAGAAAGTTAAATATGACAACTTAACAAACACTGCAATCAGATCCATGAATAAGGCACTACCATAGCTTTGCAGAGGAATGACTCAGTGTCCTTCCAGAGAACAGAAAAGGTTTCCTAGAGGAAGTGACATCTAAGATGAGTCCTGGTGAATGTCCAGATGAATGGAAAAGGTCTGGAGAGGTATAGGAAAGGACATTAGCCTGGATGTGGCAGCCATACTTGTAATCCCAACTACTTGGGAGCAGAGATCAGGAGAACTGAAGTTCCTGGCCAGTCTAGGCCAAAAAAAAAAAAAAAGTCAGCAAGACTCTATCTCAAAAACAAGCTGGGCATGGTGGTGAACAACTGGAGTCCCAGCCACTCAGGAGGATTAGAGGTTCATAATCTGAGGCCAGCCCCAGCAAAAAGCTTAAGAACCTATCTGAAAAATAACTAAAACAAAAAGGGCTGGGGGCATGGTTCAAGTGGAAGAGTGTATGGCTGGCAAGTGAGGTACTGATTTCAACTCCAATACCACTAAAAAGAAAAAAGAAAAGGCATTATATTTGATAACTACACTTGTCTTCATTGAAGAATGCTTATGGGAACGTAGCTCATTAAGCCAGAAGAGCAAAAGAATACACACCAGTCATTAAGGAACTAGAATGTTAAGCCCTTGATATTTGACTTTATATCATGGAGAAGGCACCGAAAGAGTGCAGGAATATGACCAGATTCATGGTTTATCAAGATGGCTCTATGTCCAGTGTGGAGGATACATCTGTGATGAGTAAGGGTGAAGGAACGGCTACTACTGTTCCTGCCTTAGCTTAGGCAGAAACCAATCCAAATATAAAACAAACATGGCAACAGTAAAAGAGCACAGATAAAGAGCAGAAGGGGAGAAAGAACAGTGTTTAAGACTGATTAAAGCACGCAGAAAGAGCGTAACAGGTTTTGGCTTATATGATGGGATAAACAGCACTGCCACTGCCAAAATGGGGAAAATGTAAAAAGTCAATTTGGGACTTAGTAAGTTTAATCTTACAAGTATTGTGTTTCTAGTGTTGGTGGGACCATGCATATTTCCAGCCTAGAGACACAGACAAGGTGCAGAGGAACGATGTGAGAATTATAGGTGTATTGTGTGGCAGAAATTAGAAATCTGACAGAGCCAGCGAAAACAGGCAGAACAAAAAGGTAAGATGATCTAGCACAGAATCCTGGGAAACATCCATTTTTAAGGGTCAGTGGAAAGAAAAATCTGCACAGAAAACTAAGGACGAGTGACAGGTGAACAAAGAAGAAAAATGCCATGAAAACCAGAGTAGCACACACTTTGGGAGAGGAGAGGGCTCAAATGCTTCTGTTACTTAGTGATTACAGATCCACTGATGACCTTCATTAGAACAGTTTCAGTGAGGTTAAAGTCAGGTGACAGACCAGATGAACAGTGAGTAACAGAACAGATGGGGGTAATGGGTCTACACATCTTTCTAAGAAGGGAAGGAAATGGTAAAATCAAAAACAGACAAGGGCTTTGGGGAAAGTTCTATTAAGGATGCAAAATCCCAGAAAAAAAGAAAAACAAAAAAAACCAAAACAACAAAAAAAGGATGCAAAATCCCCAAAATATTTATAAGCTAATTTTAGTAACAAGGATAAGCAATTAATGAAGATACAGGCAAGGATAGGTTCCAAAGCACGAGGAACTAGTTCTAGAAGGAGAAAGATAGAGGCTGGAAATGTGGTTCAAATGGTAGAGCACCTACTTTGCAAGTGCAAAGCCCTGAGTTTAAACCCCAGTCCCACCAAAAAAAAAAATAGGAGCGATAAAGGCTGAGAATGTAGCTGAGTGGTAGAGTGTCTCCCTAGTACTGGAAAAAAAAAAAAAAAAAAAAAAGAAGGGGGAGAGAGATGAGTAATAGAACAGCTGTAAAAGAGTTTTCAATTTAGCTACCAGAAGTAATGAGAGGATAAATATTACATAAGTATCTTGGTTCCACATAAATAGAACACGTAGGAATTTTAGCTGTCTGGTTGTGTTTTACATATATACAGGGCAAATAAAAATGTTTTTTCTTTATTATAAAGCTTATTATAAATAAAGCAAAACCCATCATGATCCTGAGAATATGATTTTGTATCCCTCTCTATTTTACATATGTGGAATTACAGTAACAGGAAGTGTTTCTCACTTTGGGAATCCTCTTAAGTCCTTCTAGTTTCTAACAGAGGGAAGGCATATCTATATAAATCAAAACATGGATTTAGGGCTTACCTCTCTTTTGTTTTTTCTTTTCCTCTTCTTCTCCTACTGTTCCTTGACCTTCACTAATTCCAGCTTCTTGTTTGGGTGAATTTTCTAGATAGGAAAATGAAATCCAAGAGAATTTCATCTCATACTAATGTTAAAATACAAATCACCTCCAAGTAAGCTCATATACAACAAAAGCATTTTACTAACAAATGAGTATGACATTTGTAAAGCAAATGATTACATTACTACATTCCCATCCAAGTCTAATTCTAAAGTCATTATCCTAAGTGCTGAGGATTCTTATCCAAGGACAGATAGTGACTAAACAGCTACTATCCCCAAAGGCCTTATCAAGTATAGACATCTATGCTTGTGGCAGTAATCTGAAAGCTGAGCAGCACAGAATGGAGCAACATGGGACATATGGAGCAGGCCTGTTCCCAGCCCAGGTTCTCCCTTGTTCCTGCTACTGCCTTCATTTTTATCAATCTTAAAAGAGAAGCCATCGTTAGTCAAGTGCTGGTGGTTCACGCCTGTAATCCTAGCTACTCAGGAGGCAAAGATCAGGAGTATCACAGTTTGAAGCCAGCTTGGGCAAATAGTTTGTGAGACCCTAACTTGAAATACCGAACATATAAAGGACTGGTGGAGTGGCTCAAGGTGAAGGCCCTGAATTCAAGCCCCAATACCAGAGGGGGAAAAAGAAAAAGAGAGAGAAGCCATCAGTATGAGTGAACTGATGTCTCTTCCTCCAATCTGCCTCACTCCAGGCAATAGCAATTCCACTCTTCAAGCTGCTTATCTGTGTCACAATCTAACATATCAAAAACTTCTGTCAGCTCTACCTTCAGAATATATCATCTACCACTACCATTCTGATCTAAGTCGTCATCGCCTCCTGACCAGAGCTCCCTACCTGCTCTCGCTGCTCAGAGCCTATGCCCACCCCCACTTTGAATTTATTCCAAACACGGCAGCAGAATGCTGCTGCTGGAACACTCTTCTGCTCAACTCCTCCAACAACTTATCTCAATCAAGAGTGAAAGTCAAGACTTGGTCTAAAGATGAGGTCCTCATCACCTCTCCAACTTCATATCCAACTTTTCTGCCTTCCTTTAATCAGCTCTAGACACAAAGGTCCCCTGGTTTTATTTTATGTGCTGGAGATCAAAGCAAGGATCTCCTGCTTGCTAGGGTAGCAATACTACCACTGAGCTAAATCCTGTTTTTTGGGGGGTGGGGTGAGATTGGGTTTGAACTCTGGGTTTTGCTCTTGCAAAGCAGGTGCTCTACCACTTAAGCCACATCTCCAGTCCATTTTGCTCTGGTTATTTTGGAGGTGGGGATCTCATGAACTACTTCCCTGGGCTGGCCTCCAACCTTGATCCTCTTGATATCAGCCACCCAAGTAGCTAGGATTATAAGCATGAGCCTCTGGTGCCCAGCTCCCTTGGTGTTTCTTGAATATACTAAGCTTCTGCCTCAAGGTCTTTGCACTGGCCATGTCCTCTGCCTGCAATGTTATATCCCTCAATTTGGAAATGACATCAAATATCATCAGTTCAGCAAAATCATCTGTCCACTACATAAAATTTCAAGTATATTCCCAACTATTCTTATATACCCTGTTCTTCCTTATCACTACCTGTACACCATGCTTTACTTGTTTCGTTCCCTGTCTAGGATGTAATTAACACAAGAGTAGGTCTTTTCTTTAACTGCTTTATCCCCAGAAGCTAAAATAGGTTCAGCACACAGAATGCCCATAATAAATGTGAATATGCATTTGCCCTTATCTTTCTATATCAGTTGATACTTAGATCTATCCTGTCTCAGAGAACTTAAGCAGTTTTCAAGTCAACAGAGATTAATGGAACTCTAATATCTTACTATAATAGAACTTTCATATCTTTAAAATAATACCATTCATGCATTTGTTTCAGTTACACAAATTTGATAAAAGAAAAAAAATTCAAAACAAAGTTCATACCTACAGTGAGTTTTGCAAACTCATTTGGAAAATTCTTCTCTAACCATTGTCTACATTTAGCAACATCAGGCATATATTCACAGTACTGTGAGAAAACAACAACAAATTGAGTCATAACAAGACATTGTCAACCAATACATTTTAGTTAAAAATCATTCCTTACTCTTAGTGTATAAATAATGATAAACTACTCTTGCCTGGTTTCTCATCCACAGGAAATCTGTATTCAAACAGGAAATGCCCCATAAAAAACTAGAAATCAAAAGATCACATGCCTCCTCACTGTAGCTATTTATTTCTTCTCTGTCAAACAGAGCCATGAAATAAAAGAGCTCATTTTCCTGACATTGTCCACACAGCCTGACTTAGAAAGTCTTACACATTATTTATATTGATCTTTCTTCTACTCAAGTGTGTAAGTATTGGCTTTGAAGCTACTCTTGCTTTATCAGCTGACTATACATGAATCCCATGCAAAAATCCAAAACATATAGCCAAGTGCAAAAAAAAGTACCCGTAGGGCTGGCGGAGTTGGTCAAGTGGTAGAGTGCCTGCTCAGCAAGCATGAAGCCCAGAGTTCAGTACCACCGAAAAAATAAAATTGAATTTTAAAAAAGGCATACGTATTAGTCAGGCATGGTGATGCATACTCATTTGAGTCCAGGAGTTTAAGGCCAGTCTAGGCAATACAGTGAGACTCTGTCTCAAGGCCATAAAAGTATTCTAGATCAAAGTTTCCTACAAAAGGTTGCCTTACTCTCAAATGACACAAAATGAAAAACAAAAAACAAAGTTCTTAGGTTAACTTTAAAATCAAGAATGACTTCAAGCCAGGTGCTAGTGGCTCACACCTGTAATCCTAACTACTCAGGAGGCAGAGATCAGGAGGATCGCAGTTAGAAGCCAACACAGGCAAACAGTTCACAAGACTCTTATCTTGAAAAAGCCTATCACAAAAAAGGGCTGGTGGAGTGGCTCAAGGTGTAAGCCCCAAGTTCAAACCCCAGTACCATAAAAAAAAAAAAAAAAAAAAAGAACCCAGAGTAACCTCAAATGCAGAAGTTAGAAAAGAGGGAAGGAAAAAAAAAGTAAAGGACTTACCTCTGTTGGTAATGAACAGACTGAGAAATGGAAAGAGAAAAAAAACATTTAAAATGTTAAATACATAAATATATACAGGGTTCATTACTTTTATATTTGACAAAATAATTCATCTCTAGTTTTTCCTCTAATTTTCCCTTCCTTTCCTTTTTTGACAGGGATTCACTATGCAGCCTAGGCTGGCCTCAAACTTGAGATTTTCATGCCTCAGCCTCCTGAGGGCTGGGAATACACATGTATACCATCACACCCAGCTTCCTCTAATTTTTCTGTACCACTTTTCAAATGCTACTCTGCAGGGTTGGGTTTTTTTTGTGATAAAAGGTACATGGTTACTTGGGTTTTTTTTGTGATAAAAGGTACATGGTTACTTGAGATGATACTCTCTTAAATTTTTGATCTAAAGACTTCAGTTGATGGACATCAAACCTTTAGTATGTTTTGGATTGGGGGTATTGCTCAAGTGGTAGAGAGTATGTCTAGCAAATGTGAGGCCTTGAGTTCAAACCCTAATACTCTCCCCTGTCCAAAAAAAAAAGTTTGTCTTCAGTTAGCTTTTTTGTGAGCTTCCAAAAGATAACTGTGTCTTAACTCATTTCTGTATATGGATCTCAATAACTGGCACAGACAGAGAAGCTTAAAACACTTTTCTAAATGAATTCAAACTGTTCTCTGCACACCTACTGAGATTCTAGCTGAGAGCTGGGGCCAGTCCTCTCTAATTTGCATTCTTCTCCTTTTGAAAAGGGGGAATGGCAGGATGAGGAAGGAACAATAAGGAACATGCCTGTGTCACAACCTCGTCTACTTTTCTCTTAAATATTCTGTAAGGATTTTCCCTAAGTACTCTAAAAATACTAAATGTCTATCAGCAATTACATTCAGCACAGTTTTAATAAGTGAATTTCTCCCCTCTCCCTTGTCTTCAAACTCCAAAAACTGCTTTGTCCTATTGATTCTATTGTTCCATTTCCTCAACCTTCTCTTCCTAATTTATGCCCAGCCCAGGCTGGTCTTCAGTGATCCTGAATCAGTCCCTCCTGGAACAGGTGCATGCCACCACACCTGACTACGAACTCAGTTAAACCCTCAGTAATTTTGTCTAATATCTTATTAGAATATGGCCTATAAGCGTGCCTCCCTCAATTGTTTTCTTTTTTTTTCCAGTAGGAAAAGAGTAGAAGTAGGAAAACTTGTTAAGGAAGATGGTGACAATCATTCAGGGAAGAGATAAAAGTCCTGGAATAGGGTGGTAGCACAGGAGATAAAACAAGTAGGAACAAGCAGGACTAGATGTGGAGAAGCCAAAAGTTCTGGTTAGTGTCCAAATGAAAAAGATTAGGGTGGAGGGTCCATTCTGAGATGCCAGTGAGCCATCTGAGCCGACAGCTGCCTAAGTATTAATGGAGAGGACAAGTGGTCTGACCTGTATAGATGGGAATGTTTTTAAGTGGAGGAACACAGAGGGGACAGGACAGCTTTCCACTATACCTGACCATTACTTCATAGGCTAAAATGAGAGCCAAGCATGGTGGCTCACATCTGTAATCCCACCTACACAGGAAGTGGAGATCAGAAGGATCCAGGTTCAAGGCCAGCCCAGGCAAAAAGTTAGCAAAACACCATCTCAATCAATACAAGCTAGGTGTGGTAGTGCAGGTCTGTCATCTCGACTATGCAAGAAGTGTACACAGGAGAACTGAGGCCCAGGCCAACTAAGACATAAACATGAGACCCTATCTCAAAAATAACTAAAGCAGAAAGGGCTGGGGGCTTGGCCCGAGTAGTACAGCACATACCCAGCAAACACAAGGCTCTGAATTCAACCCCAGGCACCAAAAAAAAAAAAAGCTAAAATGACATTTAAGTTACCATGCCCCAGAAGTGCAGCTCCAAAAACCAACTACAGCATAAGCACCTAATTTAGTATTTCCTGAATCCGATACTCACACCTGAGATGGCTAAGTTAACCCCAAGCACAGTTAAGACATTCACAGTATACCTACAAAAAGCTGGAGGTCACTGAGGGCAGGCAGGATGCAGTGAGTTTGGCACACTGGAATTTGTAATGTGATTCATTTGTGTAACCTCCTCCAGAAGCCCCCTCCCTCAACTTTTATCCTACTGTTAGATTCATCTTTATATAACTTGTCTGCTAAAAAACCTTCAGCAGCTTAAGTTATCTACAAATGAAGTCCTCAACAATTTGACCCCAAACCTCACTGTTACAATGTCCTGCCAATCTTCATAAATCCCACATTACAACCAAACTATCACACTTCCAACATCTTCTACTACATTCCCCATTACTTTCCTAACTCTCTTCCTTTGCCACTTGGACTGGCACGTGTGTCCTGTGCTGTTGTGCCTGCCTGAATGCTACCTTTCCTTCAAATCCCCATTCACCTGTGCTTATCTCTATGAAGTCTTTACTGATTCCCTACAACTGAGAGAAATGTCCCCTCCTTCAATGCCATCATTGTCCTAGACTGTGGTTAGTTTTGATTGTCAACTTTATTGGATTAAGAAATGTCTAGGAGATTAGTAAAGTGCACTTCTGGGGCTGTCTGTGAGGGTGTTTCCAGAGACATTAGATCATAAGGGCTCTGACCTACTGAATGGATTAATCCCTTGGAGGATTCAAAGGCATGACTTTGAGGTGGAGAAAGGTAGCCAGTGGAGCCTAATGGAGGTGGTAGGTCAAGGAACTACAGTACAGTCCTTGGGGACTATATATTTCCCTTTTCTCTGCCACCTGTCTACCATAGTTTAAGTTGCTTCACTCTGCTTCTTGACTACCATGATGTGAACTGCTCTGCTCCACAATGTCCTCCCCACCACGGTGGACTAAAAGTAAGTATCTCCTCCTTTAAATTGTTTCTACCAGGTATTCCAGTCACACCAACAAAAAGCTAACTACTATACAGATTTTTATTTGTCACTCTCTGCTGCCAATTTCACCTGAATCTTTCTTTCAGCGTTCACTAACATCTGCCTGGTGTAAATTACAACTAGGTGAAAGAAGGGCCCCTGCCAATTTACAATCCTCCCCAGAACTTAGCCCAGGACCCGATGCATCAGAAGTACTCAAGTCAATACTTTTGATAGTCTTGGTAAATTGTTGATTCACCAGGATTTAAACTTGGGTAGACTTCCGCACCTAAGTCTGAATTCCAAAGACAAAATGACTCCCAGAAATTACCCCACCACCTCTCTCCTGGTTTTTTACTATACTCTAAATCAGCATTATGCTCTAATCAGCAATTTCATCTCCCTCTCCCCTAAAGATAGCATATTAAATTTTGCTACCATATTGCTATGAATTCCTTTACTTTTCCTTATAACTTCTCCTTATCAGCATAATATAAAACCCATTTCCTTGAAAATTTCCATACTTCCCTCTGGACAAAGATCCATCTCCCTTCCTGATCCTCTAACTTATAGTTAGTCACTATGACTTAATTCAGCATTTAGTAATCTTTAAGCGTTTCTTATACACGTAGATCCTAAACAACTCAGGGAAGAACTGTCCCTTCCCTCATCCTGGTGCCCACAATATCATACAAGATAGGAAGGGGAATGAAAAGAAAGAATTGAAAAAGGTTAGGGACTGCTTGTCGAAGCAAAGTATCAGGGCAGGACATGACTCGAGTGGTGGAGTGCCGGCCTAACAAGCATGAAGCCCTGATCGCAAGCAACCCCAGTACTACCCTCCCCCCTCAAAAAAATTACCAGTGGGCCAGTGGGATAGATTGAAGAGTGTCATTCTTCAAAAGCCATTTTAGAAGTAACACAGCAATTCTACAGCTACAGCATGGTTTTATTTCTTGTATCTTATCAACTCCATTTTTTTCTTTTACATTTTTATAGAGATACATCTCATGATTATGGCACATCAATGTGATTGGTATTGTTTTTTCCCTTTCTTAGTGAAATCTAAGGTAATAGTGCATTTCATAAAAATATGGAGTCTTCCATTTAATAAAACAGCATTTAGTGAACTAAGCTCTATGTTAGTTGTTGTGCCAGGTGCTTTACATGAATCATCAGACTTAAGACATAATCTTCCTCTTTATCTTAGACCTCTGCAAAAATCAAGTGACTTGCCCAGGGTCACACACCTGTCAAGTGCTGGAGTCAGGATGCAAACCCTGGGCTGTGACTCCAAAGGCAGTGAATTTAACTATATAAGACCAGGATCAGAACAAAACAGTTAACCCTACAAAAAGTTCCCCTGCCTACTCTCTTGCTGATGTTCTACTCACTAGCTTTAATAGTGATGAGTTGCTATAATATTTGTTTCTTTTTTCATTTTTGGTTTTTTGAGACAGCTTCTCACCCTGTAAACTAGGCTGGCCTCAAACTTCTCAATCCTTCCACCTTAGCCTTCTGAGTGCTGAGATTACAGGCATGTCTTACCACATCCAATTTAAGAGCTGCTACAATTTTTTAACTCAATGACATCATTTCTCCTTCTACAGTACTTAAATTCCAGATGAGGACTATATGATATGGTACTAACAGAATGTAAAGTCCATGAGAACAAGGACCTTTTTGATTTATTTACTACTCAGTCCCAGCACCTATAGCTAGGCACACAGTGAGTATTCAAAAGCATTGACCAAAAGCCAGGCATAGTGGTACATGCCTCTAATCCCAGCACTCAGAGGCTGAGGCTGAAGGATCAAGTTCAAGGCCACTCTGGCTACATAATGAGACCCTATCTCAAAAAAAAAAAAAAAAAAACAAAACCTGAAAGATAAATGTTTATTTGCCCCTTTACTGTCCTTTAGCTTCAAATTTTCCTGAAATTTTCTAAGATGCTAATAAAACAGTACATATGCAATTCATTAATATTTCCATATTGCAAATGAGTAAAAAAGCACTTGGGGGAAAAAATCTTGATTAATTCTACATCTACATCTATATATATATTATCATTCAAACTAACAGACTTTACCAAAACTGACTGTCCTACTACCCATCACTCCAACCTCATCTTCATCACTCCTTAATAGACACCCTCTCTATACTACATATTAATTCAAAGCTGCTCAATTTTGTGACATATATCAAGCTTTTTCTTACATAGCTGTTCACTTCCTTCTCTATCTTCACTATCCTTAAGAGTCAATGTCTTCCAAGAAGCCCTCCCACCAGACTACCAGGGTTCAGTGTGGTGGCACATGCCTGTGATCCACTCATGGGTGGCTGAGGCAGGAGGATCGTAAGTTTGAAGCCAGCCTGGGCCGGGAGGGAGGGAGGGACGAGGGAGGGAGGGAGAGAGGAAGGAAGGAAGGAAGAAAGGAAGGAAGGAATAGCTACAATTGCACATAATATCAAGCTGAAATAATCTATCTGCACAACTGGACTGTAAGCTCCTCCAGGCCAAGTAACAATACACAAATCACATACTTGGGGAAATCTTATAAGCCATTCATCCTCCTCATCAATTAAGGATTCACCAAACCACAAAGACAGATGGGGCAAAAAAAAGCTTAAGTGGCCAAAACATCAAACTATTAACACTAGGCAAAAAAGCATAGTGAGTAAAAACCACTTTCCCCTCCAACACTTGCCTCCACAATACAGGACTCGAAGTGGGTAATCGGCATCTAACTTGGCACTGTTCCTCGGATCTCCTTTGCAATCAGCCCCACTGGATTCAGAAATGTCAGTAGCCATCTCACAAACCTGTAAGCAAAATAACAAATCTTCACGATTTTGGACCAAGACCCTGGAGAGGAACAGTACTGGGGTGCAGTCTTGCCTCCTTTCACTTCATTTCGCTCTACCCTAAAGCTGTTTCAATTCTCTGCTAAAGGAAGGATACAAGCTGCATTAGATTCATAAATGACCAATTCTAGGTTAATCTACGTACTCCGTGAGTCCATAGGGAAGCCAGTAGCAAATGGGCCGTAAAGGATTGAGGGGGGAGAGAAGAGGACGCTAGAAAAAAAGAGGAAGCAATGGGGGAAAATAGATGGGGTGGGTGACCTTCATGGAGACGGATCAAAAGGTCTAAGGGTGGGCTGGCGGAGTGGCTCAAGTGGTACAGCGCCTGCCTAGCAAGAGAGAGGCCCTGAGTTCAAACCCCAGTACAAAAAAAAAAAAAAAGGTCTGAGGGGTGATCGAAGAGGGATGCAAACTGCAGTGAGAAGGTTACAAGGCAGCTGACCAAGAGGCCAGAGCAGCTTAGCAAGAGGGGGCGGGTCATCCGAGATGTGCAGAATGCAGGGTGTGGGGGCAGCGAGATGCCAAGGCAAGGGCACGGAGGAGTGAGGGAAGAGGATGGGAGCGGACAGGGTAACCAGATCCTGAGGATGAGCAACTAACATATGAGCAGAATCAGGAAGGGGGACAGAATGTAAGAGGGCAATCCCGGAGACACCACAGGGGGCCCATGTGGGCGGGGGTGGAGACGCTCGGCCCGGCCCCCTTCCTCCAGGCAGCACCTTAGCTTCCCCTACGCTAGCTACGAGCTTCTAGAAAGCAGAAGAAGCACAAGGGGTCGTTACCCAGGCGGTCGCACAGACCCCGCCGCCTCCACTCCCGCCAGCTGAAGCGACACATGCAACTCCTCTTCCCTGGCCAGGAGCGCCCAAAAGCCCGTCTACACCAAAAACCTTCCCGCGAGATAATAGGCCTTTATCGCGAGACTCAGGCCGTCGCTAGGCGGATGTCGCGAGAAAGCTGAGCTAGGGGGCGGGGCGAAGATACAGAGCATGCGCAGCTCGCTCTGTGGGCGGGGCCAAGCAGCTGGGAGGCGGGAAACCAATAGGAGGTGCTCGCTACCTGTAGAAGAGGTGGCGCGTTCCAGGTATGGTCGCGCAAGGGGACACAGCTGAGTCAGAAATGACTCCTTATTAATAACCTTGGGCAACATTGCCCCACAGTCTGGGGTACATCCTACGGTCCTGACTAACCTCCAGCCCATCGAATAATTCTCTCTTTTCCGGCAAGGTTGCAGCTGAATAATTCATTTGGTTTCATCTACACGTCATATCCTATGTTGGAGAATTTTTATTTTTTATTTTTTGCGATACTGGGGCTCAGCTCTTGGATTTTTTGAGACAGGAGTCTCGCTGTGTATCCCAGGATGGTCTAGAATTCATGAATTTCCTGCCTCTGTCTCCCAGTACTATAGGGGAATTATTCTTGAAAAGATCGTTTTAATACTATTTACATTTTTTCATCGCCCACAATGTCACCAGGCTAGCAATTGTTTTCATTAACTTTTTCGTGTTTATCTGTCCTTACATGTTGTACAGCACCTGCCTAGCAAGTGTGAGGCTCTGAGTTCAAACCCCAGTACCGCCAAAAAAAAACAAAAACAAAACTGTGTTCTAAATTAGAATTAATCTGTCTCATCTCAAGCCGAAACTGCTACACATGACCACACAAGGTGTGTCTTAGTCTTGTTTCCATCTACTTATTTTATTTTGGGAAAATTCCTTCATCTGCATACTCAACCTGAGTCTCATTTGTGAAGTGGGAATGATAACACTACAAGGCTTTCAGAGATAGGAGGAATAGGGCAGTGGTAACCAAAAATAGTGATTTGTAGATGGGAAAGTTGTTCTTTCCTATTTCATCTTATCCTCCACTCATACCCACCAAATCACCTCCTTCACTTGCCAACTTTATTCACCACCACTACTAACACCCCTTTAAATTTCTCTTTACAAGTTATTTTGTATGTGAACTAAGCCATCTGACCCAATCTTTGCCACCAGAGTTTCATCCAGCGTGGATGCTACTCTGACAACTTTCCTAAATCAGGAGTTCCCTCCATCACAAGAGAGACTTAATTCTACATTATCCTTGTGAAAGAAAACTATGTCTTGTGCCCACCAAGGCATGTTTGATTCCAGTAATTATGTATTTTATTTATTGATATTTGCCCCCTTATTATGGGCCAGGAAGCATGCTTGTCTGGAGGTGCAGTGTCCTGGTGAATTCATTCTAGAAGCTTTTTTTAGGCTTCTTCTTTATGCCCGGTAACATGATAGGCACTGCGAATACACAAGTGAACAAAAGGAAGTCCTCACTGTCAGTAAATTTTACAGTCTTAAATATGTTAGCTGACTTAGTGCACACAAACACCCTGTGAAGTAGGGATTATCTTCCCTAATTTCCAGATGGAGAAATCAAAGTTCAAAGGCAGAAATTAACTTAGTTCACATATGCTAAAGATCACACAGCAAGGGGTTGGGGATATAGCTCAGTAGTAGAGTGCTTGACAAGCAAGCTCAATGCCCTGGATTCACAAAGCAAATAGCATATTGTATTGATTTTAAGATGCACATTTTTAGCCAGTCATGGTGAATCATGCACTCAGGAGAGCTGGTAACTCTAGCACTCAGGAAGCTGAGGCAGGAGCATCAAGAGTTTGAGGCCAGCCTGGGCTACATAATGCAATGCTGTCTCAAAAATAAAAAGCACATTTTTCACATTTCATCATTTTTTTATTGTTTTATTATTCATAAGTGCATACAATGCTTGGGTCATTTCTCCCCCCTGCCCCCACCCCGTATCATTTCTTATATGGAGATACATTTTCCAATGAAGTCTTAGCATTGTGTCAATTAAGTTTGCAGTGTTTTTCTTTCTTAGTGATGCATAAAATAATTGTGCATGTTACGATCGATGGCACTTTAGATGTAGAAGTGATGATGTGTACATAAGTAACCTCTACTGCCTGATACACCAATATCTTCAGTTTCATGCCTCAGCCTTTCCTGCTCCACTTTGTACAGCAGGGGGTGCTAACCCTGTAGACTCCTATCCCAGGCTTCCTTATTTTTTTCCCCTCTTCTGATCCACACACCCTATTCTACTCTCTCGAGCAGCATCTCTGGCACTAACTGGTTCTCCTGCTGCACTGTTAGGGGACATCAGCCCCTGGCTTCTAGAACACCATTCTCCCTGCATATAGCCTCTAGCTTAGGGGTTCTGATGCTTCCTGCAATTGCTTGTCTGTGTTACCTCACTACCTCTGTTTAAACTTTCAACAGTTCTATACCCCTCCTCCCCATACACACCTTCCTCTCCTCTGTGTAACCAATTCTCCTTTGCTTTCTGTACTTAGATGGGGGTTCCATTTTCTGGGTAGGCTATGTCTAACACAGCTGCCATTGAAACCCAGGTTTGCACTTCTCACAACCTTTCAGCTCTCAGGTCCTAAAAGGGGAGATGATGTATGAAGGCTACATTCCCGTGGTTTCTTAAAGGAAGCCACAGACTCTCTAGAAGCAATGGAATTATTACATAGGATTCAGGAATGCACCTGGGCACCAAGCATTGTCACAAAATTGATTATATATCTTTCAGAAAGAAATATTACTATCTTGTATTAAGTCACAGGTTTCTTCCAGTAGAAGTCCATTAGTTGAATCTGATTGGCTGGCTTGAGTTCGTCCATTCCTAAACCAATTGATCAAGGTCCATCTTTGAAGCCGAGTTTGGAGAGTGGTGAGAGGATCTATCAAGGAAGAAAACAAGCATTACTACCAGAGGAAAGAGTGATGCTAAGATATCAAAATAACAGACATGCTCTATAGGCATCCTCATACTCAGATATGATAAAATTACTAAATATGCTAGTGCTCTTAACACATCAACTGGGTGCATAGATGAGGCAGACTCCTGTACTAACAGAATCCTATTTATTTAAGATAGTGTGTCTAGCTAAAGATACTCAATTTTCCAGCTTCTCTGGCAAATCAAAAATGGCCAGGAAGGTTCTGGTGGATGAAATACAAGTAGAAATCCCTGAGGAGGGAAAACCTTCTGTTAGAAAGATTTCAAAATGGGTAAAATAAATATTGGCTATTCTGTTCTAGCATTCCCTTTACTGAATCCTTGTGTCTCCCATTCTTTGAGTTATTTTAACAATTTTGTAATACATTGCAAATGGATCTTATCTGTAGAAATGCAAGGGCTGCAATCATTAAGTCTCTAATGACATCAATTGGTTTTCCATCTATTTAGAAATTCATTTCACCATTCCTGATTCCTATGAATGTATGTATGTAAGTATAATTGCCTTTGTGTATATGGCTTTTTCAATTTCTCTCCTTTGAACTGGTTTTAACATCTTTCTGAGTCTCTTATTAAATGAGTGAAATAAAATTTTGACATGTATTTATTTTATGGTTGGATGCATCGTGTTTTTATTCTTTTAAAATTTATAGGTTAGCCGGGTGCAGGTGGCTCACACCTGTAATCCTAGCTACTCAGGAGGCAGAGATCAGGAGGATCACGGTTCAAATCAGCCTGGGCAAACAGTTCCTTGAGACCCTGTCTCGAAAACCCTTCACAAAAATAGGACTGTTGGAGTGGCTCAAGGTGAAGGCCCTGAGTTCAAGCCCCAGTACCACAAAAAAAAAATTATAGTTTAACACTTGTCAAATCAAAGCGACAAGACCACATAAAAATAGCTTTGCCCTTTTGTTCTATGTCTCATGGACACGAGGCAGGAGGCACAGCACCCTCTTGCAACCATAAGGGAACCAGCCTGGGCACAGAGGGTTTTGGACTGAACATACATAAATGGTCTGGAATCCTGACAGTGTTATGGGTTCACACATCAGCTCTTGACTTTCTCCATTCTGGGCTTCCTATTGTGAAAGACAAATGCCTTCCCCATCCGGAGTGTTTAACCCAATGTAGTAGGGCTTTCTCTTATACTTGCAGAATGTATCAAACTGATACTATCAGAAAGCCAAGTATTTCCTTTATAAGTAGGAAATCGGTGTCAAGCTTATCTTGCCTGAAGTTAGAGATAAAGATGAAACCTGGCTAAAGAACAATGAGGAAGGACGTGATGTTGCAAGACTGGCCATTCAGACAAAGCCTGGAGGAAGGGGGCAATTTCGACATTCTAAGAAGTCTTCTTTTGATGAGAATAAAAAGTCTACCCCGAGCTTCTTGAATTATACATGACTTCTGCTAACATGTGATACCATATCATAGTGCTTCCAGATTCTCAAGAATCATGAGTTTTCTTTTTCACTCTTGGGGCTAGATTGCCCTGAGTCAGACATTTTCTTTCACCTGATTCTTTCTGGGTATTTTCTTCTTTGGGGGGGTGGGGTGGGAGGAGAGGGATGGTTCTGGGGTTTGAACTCAGGGTCTCTTGCTTGCTGGACAAGCACTGTACCATGAGAGCCATGAGCCATGCCCCATTCCCTTTTTGTTTTGTTATTTTTCAGAGGGTCCAGCTTTTTTGCCAGGTGCCAGCCTCGAACGAAGATCCTCTTACCTCAGGCCTCCTTGCATAGCTGAGATCACAGGCACACACTTCTACACCCAACATTTTTGTTGAGATTTTTTTGTCTAACTTTTTGCCCAGACTGTCCTCAAACCTCCTTCCTCCCCATTACTGTCTCCTGAGTAGCTGGGAGTATAGGCATGCACCACCAGACCAGGCCCTTTTTTTTTATTTTATTCATATGTGCATACAATGTTTGGATCATTTCTCCCCCCTTCCCCCGCCCCCTCCCTTAACCCCCCCTTTACCCTCGCTACCCGGCAGAAACTATTCTGCCCTTAGCTTTAATTTTGTTGAAGAGAGAGTATAAGCAGTAATAGGAAGGACCAAGGGGTTTTTGCTAGT